CAGAATGTTCTACGGACCTTTCAGATTCAAGTTAATTCGATGTTGTAAAGATCACTTGTCAAACAGCCAGTTTCCGACCTTTTATTGACCTTCAGCTTTGTTTTGTCTTTTTCTCTCTGATATTAAAGATGATGGTGTGGAGGATCTCACGTGGTCTAATGAGTTTTTGGTTCTGTGGTCTGGTTTGACCTTGACTAACCTCGCTGGTATCACAGTCATGGGTTTAATGTAAGCTCTTGATGAGGCGGTGAAGAAAGGTGATGCAGAAAACTGATCTCAGCTCTGCTCTGATAAAGCCTGGGGATTTAAGGAGGGATGACTTGAATCAACACAATCTAATTTGAAAATCGGAGTTTCCTTGGTACAGTGGACGTTTTCTTCCTGAATATTTTATACAATAACTAAAAAGCTACACGGTGAGAAAAAACAGTTTTGGAGGAGATACGGAAGGAACTGGACCAAAAATGGACCCAAAATCTGAAAGAGCAGATTTTGGTTGGTATGACATTGGACCACATAGTGACGGGAGGTTTATCACTGTTTTAGTGCAGGATTTAGGCAGTTGTGGAAACAGTTATTGTTATTATGTCGTTCAATCCATATTACACAGAAGACTTGACTAGATCATGACAGGATGAATTCTCCAGATGGTGATATTGTTTAATAAAATAATTCAAGAAATGAATATCAGCTGATATCCTGTTGGGTTTTTAAAAGTCTCTTCAGAGTAGTAAATACTGATGTGAATGGTGTACGCCCAAGACAGTTAGATTAATATCGTTTTTCTAGATTTGTTCTGACTTTGTCGTTTGTTGTGTGTTGCCGTAACTACAACAGAGAAAATTTCTGATAAATAATATTATGTTCACAATCAAACAATTGTGTTTATAAAACCTCTAATTGTCTAATACATAACTTGTATAATACTGAATGCATAGAAAAAGGCAAAGGTCTGCGTTTTTACTTGGGCTTTGATGCAGCTGTTTTGTGGTGAAACTGAGCTGATGAACTTTATGGATCAATATCTTCTGTCAAATCAGATTCTTGATGCACAGTTTGGCTGGAGAAGCAGCAGCAGGCTGTGACTCTGCACTTCAAACCATAACAACATCAGCCACAAAAACAACCCAGATGGTCCATTACCGCTGTCAAGTGCATAGCATCATCTTCACCATCACCATCACCATCATCATCATCATCATCATCATCATCAACATCAACATCTTAGGTTTCATATACATTTATTGATTTGCCATTCAAAGACCACAGTGACACTTGATGCAGCTTTACTGCTTGTGGTTTACAAACAGAACCCATCACCTTCTGATTATTTCATCATAACTGGTTTTGCACTGGTACCAGACCAGTGAGCCAGACGGATGTTTAAGACATTATCATTTTTGATTTGATTAAATAACCGCTAGTTTGCCAGGAAAACTAGCGGTCCTTTTTCTTTAGCTCCTTCCCTTGAGGTGACCACATAGAAAAATCTATTGGTCACATCCATCAACGTCAGCCTCACAAACCTGTTTGGTAATCAGTAGGGGTAGACAATAATTATGATATGAGGTCATATAATTATTGGCCCGATATCAGGAAACTATGATGTTATTTTGATTAGTTTGATAGTGTAACCAAAAGCCTCAAGAATATATAATCCATATTTCCCTCAGCATTGCTATCCCGTTGTCTATTGGTAGAGAAGACTGACTGTTGATGAAATTCTCAAAATTAAATAAATATTCAGCAAAACCATCAAACCTAGGCTTTCTGCTACGTTATTTAATCTGTCAGCCAGAACATACCAATAAATCAGCCAATCAAATGGAGTACAGCCCTGATTCGTTTTACTTGAAGTCTCAGTCTGACTTAAGTGATGTCATTGGTGCATAATTTTTTTTATATACATTATTTTTTCTTTTCCAGTTTGTGTTTACAGAGATGTTTGATATAGCTTGTGTCAGTGCATTATTTATATTTTTAACTTGTGTAATGCACTGTTTCGAGTCACTGTTTTTGGTATTGATGTCATGACATGTCATCTGCATCAACTTTTTGGATGCAGGAAGTTATCAGTTATCAGCATTAAAAAAAGGTTACCGTGCATCCCTAGTAATCGTATGTATCCGGTCAATGAAAGCCAAAATAGCCATAATCATACAGCTAAAGTTCAGAAAAATTAAATTTGCCATAAAGATAGCTTAAGTTAGCCCAATATCTCAAAACACCTCAGGAACCGATGCTTTCCTGCAGAGTGGATTTGCTGCTGGAACCCAGAAAACTGGCCACATAGTGATTTTCACTGCTGTTTCTAGTCAATTCACAGCGATTTCTCTGTAGGACAAAGGTTACTATTGTAGTTTACAAAGATCGAGATTTGAACTGCTCGTTTGATCGATCCATCATTGGACGCTTCACTAAAATAAGGGTGGCCTTTTTCATCATTTCATCACTTTAATCACCTGTAAAAGTTTTACATGTGAAAACCAAGATTCCTGGTGTCTTAGATAGTTTCTGTCTATTGTAAAAAGAAGTCTTTTAGCTGGGTTTTATAACATAATAATCATATTAAACTGTATGAAATAATAATTTATATAACTCTATAGAAATTAGTATTTTACTTCACTGTAAATAACTGACAATACAACGTATGCAGTGGAGATACATAAAGCTTGCTGTTTTGTTTCTCTTGTTTTATTCTATTCTCTTCTATAACAACACTGAGTCTCCATGTGAAATGGCTCCCAACACGGGACAGTAAGGATGTCTATGAAATTTGGTGCATATTTATTAAAAGTGTGGGAAGTGGGAAGTTTAACAACACTTTTCCACATGTGAAAACACAAGCAGCATTTGTCAGCAAAAACTCCTTGACTTCCTGAAGATGTTTCCTGGTTCTACTAGTTTAGGTTCCTGTGTATTAAAAATGCTGCATCATGTTATTCAAAATGCATGGTTGGTGTTTGTCCTCCAAATGTTGGAGAGACTTTCTAAATCAAGTTGTTCACGTTACTGCAACAATGTTGTAAATCTTAAATCTTAATCTGTGACATCTTACCACTAGAGGCAGTGTGCAGATGATGAATATGATGGTCATAAAGACCAGCAGGATCAGGTGCTCCACCTCCTCAGCCATGGACATGGCTCTGCGGTCGCTGTGGGACCTGGTGGACGCCATCATGGAGCCGCAGTTCTTCTTGCGTCTCTGGTACATCCTGAAGAGCTGAAACACCACAAATCCGTTGCAGGCCACAATGGCCAGAACAAGCACCAGCATGATGGAGGCGTACAGGTTGGCGTAGGCCCGGTCCTCTCTCTGCATGGGGTTCATGTCGATGAAGCACCAGGTACCGGGGCAGTACTGCACATATTTACCAAAGCCCAGGAAAGGCAAGAGGCAGAAAATCACACACAGCAAGAACAGGAGCGGGATGGTGATGTAAGCACACTTCCTGGTCACATGTCTGCTGTACAGGTACGGGTATCCAATGGCAAAACACCTCTCTAATGCCATAGTGAAGAGGAGCGACATGGTGGCCAGGCTGAAGAAGGTCATGCTGACTCCAAAGTACGCACACACACTGTTACGGCCTGGCGACATTCCAACCATGGTTGTGTTCCGTGAGTACGCCACCTGCACCAGTGGACTGATCAGACAGGTTCCTGCCAGATCCGTCACCACCAACGATGTAATGAGGATGTGGAACAGGGCTCTCCTGGATGTTCCTCCAGCTCTGGTTTCACGCCGCCGTCGGATCTCCAGGATCACGAGGGCAGCGACGTTCCCCAGGATTCCAGCAGAGAACATGACTGCACTAATGAGAGGACTAGTGGTGGATTCGATGTGGAGTTTGCTGTGACACAGGTCTGGATCAGAACTCATCTTAGCTTTAGGACCAAACAGACTTTTTTTGGAATATACCGTATGTCCGAAGGCCAGAGAAATGTGTCAAAAACAAGTCCTTAGGTGGTTATCAGCAGCCATGGCACCTGAAGAAGGAGAAAAGATTTGACATTTAGACGACAACCAACTGTTCAGCACTTCAGACTGATTTCTCTAATGTTACAAAAGTAAAATAATAAAAATAATATTGTATTTAGATTTGTATACATAGTTGTACTGGATAGCATTATATTACAAATATGATTATAGGTTATTATTTATGAAATTAATAATCATTTTAATAGACTTTGTTGAAGAGATGATTTATTTATTATATAAAAATATCAACGACTAACAACTTTCAGTCAGTGTGGAAAAGAAAAGACTTTATGATGTGGCTCAAGTCATCAGACTCCACAAAGACCATCATAGATTAACAACTCACTCGAGGTGGTAATCTACTTCTGTCAGTGGTTTTAAAGCTATTTCCTTGTGACTTGGACTTTAACATTACTTGTTTAGACCTTGCTGACCACAAACTGACCCAGTGAATATCGGTGTTGGACCGGCAGCTCCTGTTCCCTGTGCGCTAAAATCACAGATTTTCTCTTTGGACTTTGGTGCAGAAGATTAAGAGATTTAAAGAACAGGAGCAGGGAACATATTAACGACATAAGCTGGAAAAGAATTTTGTGTAATTATTTTTCAAGTTTTGCAAATATATATATATATAAAACCTTAAGTATATTTACATTTATTTTCAAACAAATGAAAAATAAAAGCAAGTTAATGTCATTTATTTTCTAAAAAGCACTTTTTGAGTTTTTTTTTACCAAACTCCAGGCAGAAATAGTGTAATTTCACATCAATGCATACGGCAGTTGTTGATCAACTGCTGACGTCATCATTTAGTCCAAATTGTCACAGACAGTGATGAGAAGTTGCCATTTAAAGTAGACAAAACGCGAGAATTGTATAAAAAAAACCGAAACTAAAGTGATGTTCATATTGGCATGCCATCAAATATCAGTGGACTAATGAGGAAGCACTCACCTTCTCTGTCGTTGAACCTGCTGATGACGGTGACGTGCACACGCGTGTCTCCCGTCCGCAGTCACGGCGCCGCGTGTCCCGGAGCGACTGCCAGTTTCAGTTGTGCAGCGGTGGTCTCCGGGGCTGAGTGTGAGTGAACACCGTGGTCCGGTGTTGTGACGGCTCACTCATGAATGGACCCGAGTTAAACCAGCGCGAGGAGGAGTTATGACGTGGTGACATAACCACGCCCACACAATTCCACGATAGTCGAAGGGATGTGACAGATGTCAAGTGACAGAAAAAAGTCTCCTGTTTTTTTTTCTTCTATATTTGTGTTTTTGACTCCCCGTCTGACTGTTTTTTTTAAATGATTTTAATCAGATTAGATTAGATTAGATTAAACATATGTCTTTTTTCTCCATTATTTTCTGTCTCTGACCCCAGGAGACATGAAGAGGCCCTGGCTCTTCTTCTCAACAACCGATTTACCAGGTATTAATTCAAACATCGTCCGATGTCCCTGTTTGAATCTGTGCGTCTGTGTCTTTTGATTGCCTTAATGCGGTGAATCACTGATGAGCTAATGCATTTGGCAGAATACATCTGATGTTCTTCTGTGGTCGTTATCATCATCTAACTTGATCAGAGGAGATGAAAAACAACAGTCTTCTCAAATTACAGCAAAGACATTTCTGCTCACTCAACACTGATTTTGTCCTTCTTTCGGCCGTTCTCTTCACAGAGCAGATCATCTTCATCTCACCTCATCCACTGCCTCCTCTGCCTCCACACTAACATCTCCATGTCCTCCATCAATATGTCCACAGATCTTCTCTGGGGTCTTCCTTTTGCTTGCAGAGTCCATCTCCAACCTGTTTTGCCTAATATATTTACCTCTCCTCAACACGTCATCACTCGTCTATATTTACTACCTCTACTTCTCCCATCTTTATCTCTCGTTTACACACCTGTCTTGGTTCCTGCTCACCTTCATTCCTTTTCTCTTCAAATCAAACCTCCGCCTCTCCAGGTCATCTGTGTCTACAGATGTCTTTGGATCCTGACCTCACCTGTCATCTCTCTGCCCATTAGCATAAACCCATCAGTCACTCCGACAGCACACCTCACTATTTCTTTACTTTTCTTGCACATGCCGTGCCTGATCCTCACATGCTTCTCTGCCACTCCTGATTGTCTCGTACAGCACCGCAGTTCCTTCCCAGACACTCAGTCAAAAAAAAAAAAAACAGAACAAAAAACAGTTCAACTGCCTGTGAACTTCTCGGAACCGTTTTTTAACCAGTACTCTCAGTAGTACTTTTCCTGGGCATAAAACCAAACTGCTGCTCACTGATCTGAACCTTTTTCTTCAGCCCTGCTGCCAGTACCTCCACTGTATGACTTATCAACTTCATTCCAGCTCTGCACATCACCTTGGTACCATTTAGTGATGATTATTCTTTTTTATATATTGTTTGCTCTTGTGTGAGAATGATGGGGTCTCAGTAGAAATTGTCAAAATGTACAAAAAATAAATAAAAACCTAATACTTATAAAAGCCAACGTAGAAAGAGTTAAATCAATCAGTGCCATTTATTCAGAAAAAGCTCCCAAACTTATATTTGTTGACAGGTCGGGATAATTATCCACATCCAGAAAAGATAACAACTAAAATAATCCCACAGCGTTGGTAGTGTAAATGTAGTCCAGTGCGGTCTGAACAACCAAATACTGTACCGGTACCAATTACTGTAATTGGTAGTGCGTTGTTTGTGGACTTTTCTTTATCTTTGGTTTTGCTGCCACCAATAGGTGTATGTGTGTAATTACAAATACATTACAAGTATCTCGGATTGTCTTCTGCCTTTGAAAACTGTTGAAAACTTTCGCTCGTGCTGCGGTCACTGTGTCGTCCTTCACTGGTGTCTCCTCAAGACTCTTCTGTGGCTAATTTTTTTTTTTTTTTACTTCTAGATTATTGTGCTCTCTCTTTATAAATCTATTTGTTTTACGTCTCGACACATCGAAACGTGTTATCATATTGTTTATACATCAGCTCCAGTAAATAGATCTGAGAAATAAATTGTGGTTTGAACTTCAATTAAATCTTGACAGCATTTCTGTCTTTAAAAATCACCGATTTATTTATAGCTGAAGTTTTATGGCTAACAATTAGGATTTTTTTCAGTAATTAATCGAATATGTTGTTAAATCCTCTGATGTCTGATCTTTATGAAGGCATATTTAAATTACGCACTTTTTCATGGAAGAATTTCGCTTTTGTTTTCTCAGCCTTATAAAACGAATGTATATTGCAGTACACTAATTGAGACAGCAGGGAGCAGCCGTGTTCAGAATTTTAAACATTCGAGAACGTAAAATTGTCAGCAAGAAAATGCAAATACAAGAACAAAGAACAATCTATGAAATATATTATTTTAATGATATTATTGGCTTTTTTATATAAAATGTTGTTTTATTTTTCCTTAAACAAACCAATGCAGGTACAAAAGAAAAAACACTGCAATTCGCACCGTCTGTACCTGTACATATGACAAACCAAGCTGTTGGAGTGCGTGTATGCGTGTGCGTGTGTGCGCGCTCATTGTTGTGAAACAGATAGAGTTACATCCGGATTAAAAATGCTGTATTTGTCTTCGCTAACAGGAGCCAGATGTTACCTCAGCACCGCTGTGGGCCGGCTGTCACTCAGAGCATCTCTGACCAATCGGAGCCCAGCCTGGCTCCTCCCTCCAACTCCCTCCTCTGGCTGCAGAGAACGAGAGCCTGGACTCAGAGGGGCTCTGAGTTCTCCTTCTTCTTTCTGCTCAGCTGCTGCTGCTCCTGCTGTTGCTGGACCATGGACAGAGGAGAAGTTCTGGCCGTCTGGCTCCTCTGCTGGAGCTGCAGCGTCTCCCTGGTCACCTCCATCCACAGGACTGACATGTTCCCTTATGGCTCCCTAAGTGGAGATCTGATTCTAGCTGAAGGAGACGATGAGACCTCCAGAGTCCTGACCCTGCCCAGACCCCTGTACTTCTACAACTCTGCCTTCACACAACTCTACGTAAGTACAGACCTCTCCCAGGATCCTAACACCTTCACGCTGACTCACACAGTTTGGCAGAGAAATCAGGGTAGAATTCCATAGTGGGGAAAGTGTGGACTGGAGCTCCCACAGTTAATGTCTTACAGGTGAGGATGTTCAGCTGCAGCAGGTTTGTCAGATCTGTCTTTTAAACCACAACAGATTTTCTGCTCTCAGTCCTAAACATTGGATCATTAGACCGATCATTGTCTGATAAATATATTTATTCAGTCATGGGGATGTCTAAACTTTCTTCAAAGATGTCCAGAGTTGATCATGTAAAAATCACTGAGATTATTCCAATAGTGAAATTTCATTCTAAAGCTAAAAGTGTTTTGGCTTCTTTCATTTATTTTAGAAGAGTTCTTTTCTGATCAGTGATTACAATTCTAACTAATATTATTTTATAAATATCTGTCTTTTTCTGAATTTCAATTCAAGAACACAATGAAAGGACAACATAAATATTTAGCTCAAAATGGCTAGAAGTAGTACATTTTAATAAAAAGTTTGTGGAGAAACCAGCTGACTAGAAAAGGAAAAGAAAAACTCCACAAAATCATTAAATATCAATGCTGTTTTTTATTGTTTTACTAACATATTATAAAATGGTTTAAATATAACACATTCTGTTGAGTTAAATAAATAAAATGGACAAATGACTTAGTGTTTAGCCGTGATGAATAACTAGATATAGATGAAGATTGGCCCAAAACCTTTGCAAAGTTATTCAAAAAGTAATGAGGCAGCATTAGCTGAACTTCATGGTATTCACAACGGGCTCTAAAGAAGTCCGTAGGTCCAGCAGTGTGTCGTCTTAAGGATCCTTGTGGATGTGTCTCTGAACCCTCACCGTTCTCCTCAGGTGGCCACCAATGGAATTATCTCAGCTCAGGACCTGCCCATGGAGAAGCAGTACGTGGACGATGGCTTTCCCACAGATTTCCCTGTTGTGGCGCCGTTCCTCGCCGACATTGACACCACCGGAGGACGAGGACAGATTTACTACAGGGTTACTGAAACTCCAAGCGTCCTGAACCGAGTGGCCCAGGTCTGTCTGTGCGACTAGATGATGTGATGTGATGTGGACTAGAGGATTTCTGTGTTTTATGGGATTTGATTAAAACGATTTTGACCATTGATATGAAAATAAGAAATGTTTTCTTTCTTTGTCTTTTAGTTTAGACCATCGATCTCTTCATTCATTCATTATCATGTTGTCTTCTTAATCACCTGCATCACTCACTCATTCATTCACTCATTCATCTGCTCACCCAGGAAGTGCACAGAGGATTCCCAGATGCCAAATTCACCCCCACACATGCCGTAGTAGCCACCTGGGAGAACGTGGCAGCTCACGAGGAGCAGAGTCGGACTGTTGGACCTTCAAACAAGGTAAGAACACGAGGCGCGATGTTATCACGGGGAGAAAATCTTCACCCAGGGGAATGTGCCTCCTTGTCAGGACTGAGCTAATCCCAAATACCTGAGAGGTTGTTCTCACTCACATCTCAGTGTAATCAGCCTGGACTGTAGAGTGGACAGTCGGGCGGAGTTGAGTTGAGGGTCCTAATCTGCTGCTCTTAATCTGCCTCTTAACCTTTGGAAGGATCTAATCTTTTAGGGTCATCAAAGTGTCCCCACCCGTCTGAACCCCCCCCCACCCCCCCAAAGAATACACCCCCACCCCTCTGCAATTCTCACAGGTAGGAATAAACACACCCCCACGCTCATGTTGGACATGCTCTGCTGGACGTCACCCTCCTCCTCTTTTGTCAGCCACTGACTCGTGAAGGACTTGTGGAGAAAGCCCACGTCCCTCTGGTGATCGGGTTTCTCAGATGCTTTCACGGCTCTGGAAACTGGACCCAGGTTTTACTGAATCCCCAATAATACCAAACGCTTAGTTCCAGGAACTGTTTTCATTGAATGTGGTGTTTCTGTTAAAAGTGACTGTGAGAGTTCTGACTTTGGTCAAAAACCGTAGAGTTCATGGAACGTCCTCGGTGTCCCAGAGACCCTACAGTCCTGTTGACTCTACCTGTGTTTTTCCAGGGATTAGAGCAGAGGTCTGACTGGGGGCACACACCGCCGTGTGATTGTGAAGTGATTAACCTGACGTGCATGTGTGTGTGTGTGTGTGTGCGGGGGTGTTAAGATGTGTAGTAGAGGGTTGAGGTGAGGATGGGGGAAGGTCAGAGTAATTTGGGGGGGGGGGGGTTGTGGGTGAGGATTTAAACTCCTCTGGTTTAAAAGCAACAGTGTTTGTGTTTTGGTGTAAATGTTATTCTGATCATTAAAGTGTCATTTCCTCACTCGGCCGCTCACACACGCTCTCTCTGTGTCTGTTAGCATGTTAGCTTTGTTGGCTAATGACTGCAGTCATTACCACGGTGAATTCCAGCTTCTGTTAGAGCCCGTGTTCAGTGTGTGGACCAGAGGGTCACCCCAGCATTAGCCCCCACCGATCACTCCAGGCATACATTAATGTTCATTTAAACCACACCTCAGAGTAGGAATGTGGAGAATATGGCCAGAGGGCCAATCAAGGGTGTTATGTGACCCCCCCCCCTCTTCCTACAAGACCCACTAGTCTTCTGGGACATTACTTGTTATTCCCTGTAGATGTTGGAGGGACAGTTTCACAGGCATTTTAACTAAAGTCATTGATACTTTAGCTTCTTTTCAACTACCATCTGTTTGTATTGAGCTAACAAATGTATTCTTGCTTTTGACCAGTTATTCATTTTAGCTTACATTACTTGCTTACGTAAAGCTTTTTTTTTCTTTTTTTTGACCACTTGGGTCCGGTGTGGCTGCCCTTCTGGATACCAGATACAACTAAAGTGATTTCTTTTTTTTGCGTTATTGTCTTTATTATGACGCTGTAGAATACGTGTCCTGACTATTCGTGCTACTGTTGTAATAGCTGTATGTGGGAGGAGTCAGGTTTAATCGCAGGAGTCACAGACATCAGCTCTTTATATACATGTGGAGTTACTGAGTCACAGATGATGAAGTCTTCACTTATTACAAGTGCAAATCATAGTGTACTGCGGTAGAGCGGTAAAGTGATTACGTTCTCAGAGTTTCCGGATCTAAGAAAAGCAGTGATGGTTTTACGTTGCCACGATCGCTGGAAGGGATAAAAAAAAAAAGCCTCCATGAGCTCAAACACTGGCCGACTTCTCCTCCAGCCATAGACAAATGACTGGAGAAGTTAGGGACTCTTCCTGGCCACAAAAGTGTGTGTGTGTGTGTGTGTGTACATGCACGTCTGTTAGTGGCAGTTCCCACGCTGTGGGCAGTTCCGTTGGTAGCTCTGAGCTGAGGATGGAGACGGGCCTGCAGCTGCTGCGGGTCTGTGTGCAGCTGTGCTGCGGTCCACGGTCAGAAAAAACAGAAACCAACAAACATGTGTAGTAAAGCTCAGGATTCACTCGTTCATTCATTCTCAGATTAACTGACTTCCCCTCCTCCCCCTCCTCCTCCTCCTCCCCCTCCTCCCCGTCTGTAAATGTTCTCAGAGCTGACCAGAGTAAATCAACTTGTTACATAATGGATTATATACAGTACAGATTATATTTTTATATATGTTACTTTCAGCAAAAAGGTTGGCCAAAAGTCTGCCTGTCAATGTCTGTAACTTATAGTTAGGTTAGCTAAGATTTCTTTAAGCCATATTTGGTTGTTTTAGAATGAAATAGTGGCCAAAACTTCACCAAAAGATGGAAATGTTAGCAGAGAATGTGTTACAAATGAACCTTTTTAATATAGTGTCTGACTGAAGAAATCTATATAATCAGAAATGTGAAAGAAATCAGTGACACTCGTGCACAGAAGGTAGCCAGAAGTTAGCCAAGGACAACTAAACGCCAGGAATTTACCATAAGGAAGTAATGATAACCCTCACTACAAAAAGTTAATGACATTATCGCAACAATTATTACAGTTAAGAGAATAAATTTAGTGACAACATGGTTAAACTTGTTGAGTAAGCCATACAGAAAAAGTAAAAGTTAGCAAACAATCGTATTAGTAAAAGCTACACAAAACATCAGCTAAAACACCCCCCCCCCCATTACCACCCCAGTCGTTTCCAGACTCATTAGCTTGATAATGCTAATTCCGTTAGGTTCTGCAGTCCCAGCACTGTGACACCAAACATTTGTCCTGCAGACAATTCACATGTGTGTGTGTGTGAGAAGAGGCGGCTGTGAAGAAGGTGTGAAGCCAGGCCTCAGGGCAGTTCAGAGACTGTGTGTGTGTTTGTGTGTGAGATAGAGTGTTATAACCGACAGACACACACACTGATTGAACTCCACACCGGTGGAAAAAGTCTCTTTGATGTGTGTCAGCAACAATTTGTTGTCTTCCAGCTGTGAGTCTTTAAAAATCACTGGGATGAGTCCTCCCCACGCCCCTCCTTGTCTCCCTCTCTCTCTCTCTCTCTCTCTCTCTCTCTCTCTGAATGACCGCACGGTTGTGTTTCTTCTTGTAGGAACAGTCCCAAGAACTACAGGAGTTCTAGAACTGTTTGATTGCTCAGAAACCCTTTTTTGAAGAGGGTGAACCTGAGGTGACCGGCAGATTATTTCCGTACACGTCTTGTCTGTGATGACGGCCCATGATTCACGGCTGACTGCTGAGGGAGTGCAGCCCAGTCTGCCACTGGTACAGGGAACCATCAAAGGCTCTGAGATCCCTTTGTTAGTTCCGTCTGTGGAAGTTCACAGTGTTTTGTGTTATTCTTCATCTCAACGGCAGAGCACACATCGCTCAGTCCTGTTTGTTAGCTAAACTAACATGGATTCATTTCCACCGTTACTGTCCAACAATGTTACTGTATCCAGGGAATCAGCCCTGAGTTATCATCAGTCGTTGACTCTCGGAGGATTTTCTGAATTTAAAGTGGACCATGACAGCGCTGGCTCTGGAAAAGTCTGATCCTGAGGGAATGAGAGGGATGAAGGACAGGAATATCCTGCTTCTCCCTCTCCATCTCCTTCCCTGAAGACAGAAAGACATTAGAGAGACACAAGGAACCTAGGCTCCGCCCACTCCACTAATTCGACAGGGCCTGGAGGCGGGGTCCAAGTCCTTTATAACCACAAACAACTAGATTGTTTAAAGATGTTGATGTAAACACTCAGGAAAACAAACACACAAACACAGTGTGTGCATCGTCATCGTGCTGTGTAACAAAGTGTGTGTTACATGTTGTAGCATCACACACACACACACACACACAGGAAGACAGCTGTACAGATGAACATCTGGACCAGGGTGTGTGTGTGTGTCTGTGTGTTCAGATAATTCAACCTCGACCCAAAGGAAAACAGCATGGGATCCCTCACCGTCCTCCTTCATTCACTACATTTGTGGGATTTTTTTTCTCTGCTGTGGTTTTTCTCCGAGCAGAAAGATTTACATGACGAAAAAAAGAATTCCCAAAGTCACAAAATCTCTACGCAAGTTTCTTTATCTAATGGTTCTCAATGATGAACACTATCATTATTAATTGGATTAAACTAGTTAATGTCTGCTGAGGGTGAAAATGCACAAAATAAACAGAAGTTGGTCAAAAGTCCAATTCCCGCAATAGACTAGTCAGAAAAATGGCCTTCAGCCTCACAGACAGTGGTTAACATATCACAGATATTAGGTAATCCATAAATCAGTTGTCAGCTCAGAGTCAGAGTCAGAGTGGCCTTAGGAGAACAGACTACGGCTGAGAGTGTACGAAAATGGAAACTTCAGTTTGCAGAAAGACAGCAATAAGTGAGTCACTGGAAGAGGGGTAGGATTGAAGAAGAAAGTATCAGCACTTGGCTGCACTTGATAATATGTGAGTCTCATCTCTGTCTGTGATACCAAACAAGCACCAGACTAAGTCAGACTCAGTCAGTTTTGCTCGCATTATAATTTTGAATCGTATTTCAGCAGTTTCAACCTCCAGACTCTGATCCACGATGTCAGTCCTCAGTCTGTCTCCGCTCTGTCTCCTCAGGTCAACACCTTCCAGGCAGTGATTGGTTACGATGAGACCACCTCCTACGTCCTCTTCCTGTACCCTGAAGATGGTCTGAACTTCTTCAGGACACGACCCAAGGTGACATTGCTTCATCTGCTGAAACAGCTTCTGCTTTGTAAAATATTGGAACGATTATATTCCCTTCAACCATGTCCTCCGTCTACAGGAGTCGTATAACGTAGAGATCGAGTTCCCCGCTCGCGTCGGCTTCAGCAGAGGAGAAATCACATATCTGCTCTTCGGTCGCACTGAGGGACCTTACTACAGTGTTGTTGGAGAGGATCAGAGCATACACAGCCTTTACCAGTGAGAGAACACCTTTAGCTAAATGCTAACTATGTTTTGGCTCTTTTCAAGATATTTTTTTTAAGTTAATAAAAAACCAAAAATGACCGCTAACTCTGAGGGGGGTTTGTGTGTATACGTCTTTTCAGTTATTGCTTCTACTTTTTATCACATTTTAATGTGTTCCTAAAACATTTTCTTCCTCTTTTCCAGAGTTGGAAACACAGGTATTCCAGGAATCTGGCTTTTCCATACTGGAAATCGTTATTCCTTTGACAACATAGTCCCAGCGTCCATCGGTGGTCTCCTGGCCACCTCACCAACTGGAGGTCTCCCCCTGGTAATTCAACTGTTCTTCCTTGATTCTCTGAATTCACAGTTGACACTTGGCCTAAAGGTCCGGTTCTTTCCAGGACACCACCACCCCTGAGTATGGTGAGTTTGAAGAATACCCAGACCACACCTTTGAGCGTGATCATGAAGAGGAGGACGGAGAGGACGGAGAGGAGGATGACTACCCTCTGACTGGAGGAGATCCTGAATTCCAGCCAGCTCCTGCTGGAACAGATCATTCAGCGCCTCCTCAGCCAGAGAACCCAGATTCTCCTCTTCATCCTTCAGAGCAACCTCATCCTCATCCTCACCACCAGCCGAGCTATGTCACTGAAGAACCCAGGTATGAAGCGGGACCAGCAGGGCGTCGGTATGTTCCTCCACAATCTCCAGACTCGGTACGAGCAGGGGGCGCTGTGGAGCCACAACAACCACAGGTAACAGTGATTCTACCTTCACTTCTCAGCCTTCACTTCTCAGTCTCCAGACTGTGTCAAGGCTCCCCCTGATGTAGAAGAGTCCAGTAACAAGCTGGCTGGATGGATGAACGGATGGTAGATCGGCTGATAGATGGATGTTTGTGTAGATGGATGAGTTGGATGGTGATGTTTCCAGATCAGTTGTTTGTGGATGGTTGATCCTGTAGGTCAGTGAATTAATGGTGGATAATTGACCTGAGACTGTGTTTCATTAGATGGATAGACTAAAGGATGACTGGACTCAGGGATTCATCTACACATGAATGGAGGTTTTTATATATACTGACGTATAAGTGGACGTAGATAATGTTGAAGGTCATTTTATTACATGAATTAAATTCCATTCACGTAATTTTCACATCACAGAAGCAGTTTTTAATATTGCAAACCAAAGACTGAATGACACGGTACAGTTTTACATGTGGTTCAAAGTAACTTTTAGTGAAAACCTTAAAACTCTGAACACACACGTACACATTTGTATAAATGTGTGAATACAGAGACCAGGCTACAATGAAGGCAGTAAAATGTTGAAGTTTCTGTCAAACACAAATATTTAATCTGGTCCAGCTGTAGATTATTACAGACGTTTTTTATTCCTGCTATGGTTCAAGTTTGATGTATTTTTGATTAAAAGCAGCTAAAAAGTGAGATAAAGTTTCCAACCTCATGAACTCTCTGTTATTGTACTGCAAATGCTGTGGAAACTGAACTGGTTGAAGTGGAGTTTATGAAACATAGTGACTCTAACAGCACCAGCTCTTTCACAGGGAGGTTTGGGATAAATAAATACATTTGTTTTCTTCTGTCCAATCTGTGGTCTGAATGGAACGTGGTTTGGATGCAGTTTTTGCAGTTTCAACAGAACGTTGTCAGATCTGCATGATCCTGTCACTGCTGTTTGGGAAGTGTATGCAGATTGTGGAGCGTTGAATTTTTCAGCATCTGGAGGGAGTTAAAAAGATGTAGCTTAGCACTCGGTGACAGCATGCTTCACGTTCCACTGCTCCTTTATTTTTCTCCTTGAGGTTCCTCTGGAGGTGGTGGACGTTTACCCTCCTCCCAGAAATGTACCTCATTTGTCCCCTGGAGGTCATGTGGTCAGCGTGGATGAAGAGGACATAGACATTGACACAGGAGGTAGGAGACAGAACTTCATGCATGGGTGTGGAAGACATGTGCGTCAGAGGTGGAAAAAGAGGTGGAGGTTCTCTCTGCTGCTGCTGCTGCTGCTGAGGCTGCTGCTGAGGCTGCTGCTGCTGCTGAGGCTGCTGCTGCTGAGGCTGCTGCTGCTGCTGCTGAGGCTGCTGCTGCTGCTGAGGCTGCTGCTGAGGCTGCTGCTGCTGCTGCTGAGGCTGCTGCTGAGGCTGCTGCTGCTGCTGAGGCTGCTGCTGAGGCTGCTGCTGAGGCTGCTGCTGCTGCTGAGGCTGCTGCTGAGGCTGCTGCTGAGGCTGCTGCTGCTGCTGAGGCTGCTGCTGAGGCTGCTGCTGAGGCTGCTGCTGAGGCTGCTGCTGCTGCTGCTGCTGCTGCTGCAGCTGTCTGTACAGTACTGCTGTTGTGTGGAGGCAGATCCCAGGTGTGTGTGTGTGTGTGTCTGTATGTGTTTGTGTGTTACTAACATTCCCCTCCTCTATGACAACTCCCACAAGCATTTGCAGTAAATAGGAATGAGCTGTCAGTAAACCTTACAGAGTACATCAGTACATGAAATACTTACAGAAATACAGCAACATTATTTTGGTTACCACAGAAAGAAGCAAAAATGGAAATAAAATACAATGTCCAAAAAAGCTATAGCAGCCACATTAGCCACAAAAGTGAGTTGATGTTAACGGCCATAAGCTAGTACGAATTATTCAGTTTTCAGAATTGAAACGGTTAAAAAATGTTTGCTTAAATTATGAAAGGTACTGTGAGTTATACCTCCCTGAAAGGCCAAAAATGTGTCACGTTCATAAAGGCTAATAATGTACAGAACTAACTAACTAGATAGTTAGCTCAAAACCAGCATCTGTGTTATAAATGTAGAGTTGAATTGAAAAAACAATAATCATTTTCACATCCTAATGCATTGTTTTAAATGACAACAGCTTCGTTTCTCTCTGTCTACCTCTGCAGTGATCCAGTACACTACAGAGAACAAGGAAACCTGTGCCAGATTCCAGCAGCAGTGTTCCCAGAATGCATTCTGCTCAGACTACGCCACAGGTTTTTGCTGCCACTGCCGACCAGGGTTTTATGGAAACGGACGACACTGTTTACCTGATGGTGAGGAGACGGCCATGGATGGACACGTGGTTATATAAGGATGGGGTTTAACTGGGGAGATGACAATGAACACGCTATCTGAGCGTACCCTTTGTGCTGCCCCCTGCAGGAGCTCCTCAGCGTGTCAGCGGTAAAGTGAGTGGAACTGTTACAGTGGGATCTACACCAGTGCAACTGAACAACATCGACCTTCACGCCTACATCGTGGTGGGAGACGGACGGGCCTACACTGCTATCAGTGAGGTAAGAGATCAAGGAAATCAATATTTTACACTAAAATGTGTCAAGTATTTCTAAATATTTTTTTGGTAAACTTTGAACTTCATGTTGGCTGGCTCGCAGGCTTTGTTGACTTTTGATATTGAAACGAATTCAAGGCAAACTGTTACCAACTACTCACGATCGAAAGCCTTATCAGCTGATTCATTTTTTATAATGAATTTGTTTATTGATCAGTTTTAAAATACATAAATTATTACTACAACTACTACTGCTAATAATAATAAAAAAATGTTAGATTTTTTTTTAGATATTTTGACGAGTGTTGAACATACACTCATACACATTATATATTTTTCTCTTGCTTAGTTTTAGCTCTGACGCTGGTTAAACTTCTCCTAAATTGTCTCTTGTCTCCTAATGGTTCAGGTCCCAGAACCAGTGGGCTGGGCTTTGATGCCAGTCGCACCAATTGGAGAACTGTTTGGCTGGTTGTTTGCCCTGGAGCTGCCCGACAGCCAGGCAGGCTTTAAAACCACAGGTAAACTGTGCGTGTGTGTGTGTGTGTGTGTGTGTGTGTTCTCTCAGAGCAGCTGTGATGTCTCCAGGGAAGTGATGTGAGATCAGGCTTCCACCCCCAGCCCTCCCTCCTCTGATAGGAAACAGCTGTGTGTGTTGTTCTGCTAGCAATAAAATACTGTTATGGATAGACATTTTTACATCTACACCATGTTACTCACTGGCTCTTAAAATATGAAGCTATGAAATATAATTTCTGCTAAACGTAATGTCATCGTATAAAATACTTCTAGAGTCAGAAATCGTTATGTTTATGCACATTACGTCAGCGAGCTATTTCAAAGCCACCTCATAGTTTTACATACCAGTGTTAAGCTATTGGTGGTTTACTTCATCAAACGTCTCATTTGACTTTCTTTAACTAAGCTAAGGTGGAAGGCCGAGGTGATGGAACACATTTATATTCAAGTTCAGCTGGCTAAAATCTCACCATCTCTTCCACCAGGTGCTGAGTTCACCCGTCAGGCTGAGGTTGTCTTCTACCCTGGAAACCAGCACCTGTCCATCACCCAGACTGGACGTGGCTTGGATGACCACAACCACCTGACCGTGGACTCCGTGGTTCAGGGCAGTGTTCCCTTCATTCCTCCTGGAGCCGAGGTCACCATGGATCCCTTCAGAGAGACGTACCAGTACTACCCATCAGGTACCAGACGGAAGGAACCAAGACCTCTCCTGATTCAAACATCTTCTGTTCCCATCTTGAAGAATCTTCTCTGTCGTTGTTGTTTTTCGTCAGTGGCCACATCCAGCTCTGTGAGGGAGTTCACCGTGGTCTCAGCTGAGCGTGGCTCTGAGTCCTTCTCCTTCCAGCTCAAACAGAACATCTCCTTCCGTGACTGTCGACACGATAACAGAGCGGCGGCTCCGGAGACGCTGCAGATCTCCATGGAGAGGGTGTTCGTCATGTACGTGAAGGAGGAGAGAATCCTGAGATATGCTGTCACCAACAAGATCAGTCCAGTCGGAGGTCAGACACAGTCAACATCATTACTGCTTTTTTGTTAGGCCAATAGTTGGATTTATGTGTTCACTTTTTATTGTCTTCTGGTTAAATTTGACACGTCACTTTTAGAGTTTTCTAAAACACTTTTACCCAGTGATAGTTAATACCAAGTAACCATAGTGACTAGCTGTTTTGTCAATTTTTGGATCACTCCCAGGTAATTCCCACGATGCTTTTAAATTTTTACAGCTAATTGTTTTACCTTTATACACATTTTTACCAGACGTTGTATCCATTATTCTTTATTGAGCAATTTGTGTGGAGCACATGGTTAAATCCATATGGTCTCACAGACAAATAATGGCCGACGTCCAAACTCACGTCCGTCATTAACGGTTACTCTATCAGACTGACTGTTGTTGAGTCTACATTAGGTTTAAAGTGGCGGTGAGAACATGTTGAGTTTATTCTCCTCCAGACCCAGAGAGCCTGGTCATTGTCACAGTGTCACCACATGAACCCTCTCCAAACCACAGCAATGAGCTTTAAACACACACAGGGTTAGCTTTCAACACGTGCTGCGGAGCTGAGAACAGTAATTATTGCAGAGAAACTAGAGATGACAGAGTTGTCATGGTGTGTGTGTGTGTGTGTGTTTGCACATAGACGTGTGACACAACAGCTGTCTGTGAGAAATATGCTTTTTTCTGGAAACTCCACTCTGGAAATCTCTTAATCCTCCATAGCATTTGATGTAGGGACAACTAGGACATTTAGCATAAACGAAAGAAGACCGGCCGTTGGTCCATTGCTGCCTCTGGTGGGCAATTTGTGTCACTGACGTCAATCTGAACACAGGTTTTGAGAAAGTCAAGTCAATCGAATTTATTTCTTCTTGTCATATCCACACTGGAATGACGCGTAACTTCTCGTCTGTAACTGTAGTTAATTTAGAAAAAAAAAAAAAAGAAGAAGCTATACACGTGTTATACCACCTGAAGGTCTGGTTAAAAGACAACCACATAAATATAAACATAAATAAAATGTCACGCCAGAGTTAGCTAAAAGAAACCCCACCGTTGTCCAAGATAAGTTCCGATTTCCAGCGTAGCGGTGAAACAGGCGGCAGATTGTTTTCCTTGGTCTTTTGCTGGTGTTTCTGAACTCAGACTACACGTCAACACGTTGATTAAAAAGGTCATGACGACACATGTCACACGTGCACATGATTCAGCCGCTGCACAGCTGGAAGAGCTTTCTGAGGATCAGGGATCATGTAAACACACTCTGTGTGTGTGTGTGTGTGTGTGTGTGTGTGTGTGTGTGTGTGTGTATACGCATGATATAATATCCCAGCCAATGACAGATTTTCTGCAGGGAGGGGTCGTGTTGCTGGGCAGAACAGCTGCTGATTGATGTCATTAGAATTAGACCAAATCTACCAATGACTGATTATTTTCATGACTAAATTTAAAGTATTAATTTTATAAATATTATTGATTTGTATTTATAATTATATTTTTTACTTTCAGCCATTGAAGCATTGGGGTTTTTTTTTTTGTCTAAATTATTGAATATTTATTTTAAATTTTGTATTCAGTATCCAAACCTCAGTAATTGTACTTACCCCTGAATAAAACATTGTGATAATCAGTTAATTATCTGTTTAGTTTCAGATCTCTTTAGATATTTATTGTCCGCTAACCTTGAGTTAATTCTTAGCTTATGGATTTTTAGGTGTGTGTATAATAATACTAACCCAACCAATGACAGATTTTCTCTTGGGTGGGGCTGTGTTGCTTGCAGCTGTCCCTTCTCCTCAGGAGGATTAGACCAAAGCTGCCGCTGACCTCTGATCTTCCCGGCTAATTCTGAGCTGTCATCGTTGCTCACTGTATATATTTTCCCTCCTTTCACCTAGCATTTGTTAGCACTGGTATTTTAATGAAAAGGTTTTGTACACTAATGTTCAATTAGCTTTTTGCTGTGTCTTGGTGGGTTCTTTCTTCTGTTGGTGGCATTAGCGTTTGATCATTATGAAGCTTCGGGTCCACATTTAAGGAATTAAGGAAGTATTTAGTGCTGTTTTTAACATTATCCCGTTTGAAAATGTGTTGAGAGTTTTTTTTTTGTTTTTTTTTTTTAAAGTATATACTTTTTGCTAACTTTTACCAATCCTTCTGGTGTCGTCTTGCTATTTTGTAGCTTATAGCTGTGGAATGATTTTTTGGTGTATATGTGTGTGGGTGATTTGCAGCCCCCTCTCCCTCTGTCTTTAATTGTCTTTAATTGCCCCTCACTCTTTTCTCCCGTCCATCCATGTAAACGTAGCCTCTCATCTCTGTCTTTCTTTTCCACCACTGTCAGATCTTTGAAGTATCTCCTCCTCTCTCTGCTGTAATGAACCCGAGTTTGTTCTCACGCCTCAGGAGGTGGAAACAGTCAGTTCAGCCAAGTGGGAAGTCCAAAGAAAATATACATTAAATATATTTGTCAGCGTTTATAGGTACAAATGGTTAGGAGCTGTGTTTGACAGCAGTGTTGTAGTCAACTCAACTTAAAATGAGCGACTTGAACCTGGGCGACTTGACTGACTCCAAACTGTGAGGAATCAAAGACTTCTGTCACTACAGTTGTTTTCTACCAAACTTCTATGGGAGTCTCCGACCCACCCACCCACCCAGTCCATCATCTTACACCAGTCTTCCTGAAGGGTCCGTGTGGTTTTCCAAATGCTTATGTTTGTCTTCCTGGTTTTCCTGAAATGCTTGGACCTCGAGGTTGGGGGTTTTGTTTTTGAGGAGCGTGTCTGTGTGACTGGAAAGAGCAAACTGGTCAGAACACACATCCTCCAAATAGTCCCCTCCGTCTGGATCGGCCTCGTGTCTATGTGTGTCCAACCTGGTCCATATGTTGAGCAGAGGGAGGAAACCGCTCGATGGGAATTTGTCTGCGCTGATTTCTGACATGTGTCTTTGGTTAAAGTGGCCTGTAATCAGGGCTGTGTTCATCTGACTTTAACTGCTCAACAATCCACAAGTCAATTCATCTCCGTTCTGGAGGTTTGGAGTGGTTTTGGAGTCTGTGCAGGACATTTGTTTCCTCCCTCTGATTCTACGTACAAAGGTTTTTTCAAGACTTATTCGGAAGTGAGAGATCAAAATGTTAAAATTGAAAAAAACAAACAACAACAACAACAAAAAAAAAAAAGCCCAACAGAAATACCGAGGTGTTAAGTTGTTCTCAACATCTGTTTGATAGATGGTTGAATGAATTGTCTTCTCTTGTCCACAGCTGTGTCCACAGGACCAGAGCTGGTCAACCCCTGCTACTCTGGGAACCACGACTGTGACACCACAGCCCAGTGCATCCCACTTGAAGCACAGAGCTTCCAGTGTCAGTGTGCAACGGGCTACAGAGGAGACGGACGCAACTGTTACGGTACTGCTGTTTGTCAGAACGTTCAGCTGTAAACATCCATCCTGACCACGTCTGACCTCAACTCATCTGATTACAAATACTCTTGTCTAGTAGTATTACTTTTGTGTATATTTAGGTGACAAATAAAATTCCTGCAAACCTGCAGAAGGTCAGAGGAAGACAGCTGTGACGTTGGTCTGTAACAGCATGAGTTAGAGGATGTTAGTAACGTAGTTACTGGCTGATCTAGTTGGTCAGAGGACATCAGCTGAGGACCAGTCTGTGTCTACTGCTCATCCATACCCATTACATTTTGCCCAGACTTTAAAGAACCTTGTCTTTCTCACTTGTCCACTTCAAACATGCTTCAGAGACGGTTCAGGGCTGCACGTCTGTGCCTCATCAACACACATCCATTAAACTTGAAAGGGTCAATGTGAAGTCAAACACACATCTTGTCAGCACATGTAAATCATCTTTAAATTCAATTCTTTAAGCCACGAGGTCCGTGGACAGAGCTGACATTCTCTAGTCCTCAGATTAAACAAAGAGTCTGTTTCAAATCTGAAGGGACGGGATCAAGTCTTCAGAGAGTTGAAACTGTAGATGAGGATGATGTTCTGACAGCCAGGTACGTCATGAACACAAGGAATTATCTGCTCTCTTAGACTCACCTTTGACCTGTATCCTTCTCTGCTTAACTCGTACAAACCAGCACTGAGTTATGCAAAGAGAGAGAGAGAGAGAGCTGCTCTAGACCTGATTCCTGTGCCCTGTGCCTGCATGTAGCAAATTATAGTTCTTTTATATTTATTTATATTAATCTAACTTAGCTTTATATGATGTATATACAGTATACATGAGTAGTAGTAGTAGTAGTAGTAGTAGTAGTAGTAGTAGTAGTAGTAGTAGTAGTAGTAGTTTCCCATCTCTGTTGAATTGGAGGTGAAATTTAGATTTTCCTAGCATTTGCTGTGTGAGATTGGATGATTTACAAACTTGATTTTTGACAAAAATAATAATTGATGATTTTTTTTTAATGCAGAGACATTTACATCCAAGTCCTTGTCTCCTTTGTAGTCATGGTTTACCTAAGAGTGAGTGTGTGTAAATGTCTATAGGTAGGTCTCTGTCCTCAACACGAACAGTGAGTCACTACTTTATGTAAACACCCTACAGAAAAGCAGAACTCTCCCTTTATCAGTAACCACTGGGTCTTCAGGCTGATGCAGGGCCTGTCATTAGCTCAGTGCCATGTCTGTCTGTCCTGCTGACATCACGGACACAGCTTCAGGCTCATCCTCAGTTCCCATGGTCAGGTGTTGTCTTTGTGTGGGTTTTCTCCACTGCCTTTTACTGAGCCTTTAAGAACCCAGGTGTGGGTTCCAGGCTTTTATCAACCCAGACCGGCAGACAGAATATAAAGTGCACATGCACGAATAATTAGCCAAAATTACAGCTTTGAGACTGAAACACACTGAGAGTTCTCTGTTTTTGACGTGTACTCTTTTACAAGGTTACATACGTCTCACTTCCTGGTCTGTCTCTCACTGCAGACATTGATGAGTGCGCTGAGGGACTCAGTTCATGTGGTGCACACTCTGAGTGTTTGAACCTGCCGGGGAGCCACCGCTGCCAGTGTCACGACGGCTACGAGTTTGGCTTTGACGGAAGAACCTGTGTTGGTGAGTTGTTGACGCTAAATCCACTTCAAATCCATATGAGTCCAACTTCTGTCCACTCTAAAGCCTTGGTGGTCCTTTATACAAAGGTGGTCTTCCAACCTTAACAGCAAGGAAGTACTTCAAGGAACCACAGGGTTCTCTGTTGTCTCAATGTAAATGAATCTGTTGTTCATACAGACCAATCACATCTCCACAAAATGTTTGTACTTTGTCCACAGTTCTGAGTATTTGTCTTAGTTCCAGGTACTTGTTCCCGTGGTCTCGCATAAACAAGTCCATTAGAACCTGTTTATTATTAGTTGAAATGTAATGACTTATTCTGTTTTAGGAGTCTGTTTTTTAAGACCTGCTTGAAAAGAAAGGATTATCATCTGGGGTGTGTGTGTGTGTGTGTGTGTGTGTGTGTGTGCGTGTGTGCATGCTGTTGCTATAAAGACTGCAGTGATCTTAACGGGCAAATTAAAATCAGCTATGTAAACAAAGCCTTTATGAATCTTCTTTCTACCTCTAGCACACATCTTGGGTTGTTCATAATGTAAGTTATTCTTGTTTGTCTCACTGGGGGGTGTGGAGGGGTGGGAGGGGGAGGGGCGCGGGGCAGCTTTTTGGATCTTGTCGTGCTGTGTCTTCCAATAAACCAAGTGAACTCTTGGAAAGAAAACCACATACTTTTGTAAGCAAAGGAATAACAAAGTCTTCTCCATAAGAGAGAAGTGAAGCACAGCTGCAACAACCAGAAAACAGAGAGAGAGGAAAGACAGTGAGGGGAGGAGGGGAGGAGGGGAGGAGGGGAGAAGGGAGGAGAAATGGGGGAGGATGGGTGACAAACGTGAGATCAGGGGTGGGAGTAATGGTGAGAACAGGACAGTGAGTTTAGGCAGAAGTGTGGGGGTGGAGGGTGAACATGGACGACAAATGGACATGGTGTGTGTGTGTGTGTGTGTGTGTGTGTGTGTGTCCTCCTTTTACCCATCAGTGTGAACTTTCGTTGAACTTCTTTTTTTCTTCTTCTCCTAAACGTTGTATACGGCGTCCACCAGAGAAGATCCAAATGTCCAGCATGAACATACAACAAAATGTGTTCATCTTTAACCAATGTTTTGTCTTGGGTCAGGACTTCATTACATTAATTATAAATAATTAATTACATCATTTTGTTTTTAGCACATTCAGGAACCTTTCACCTAAAATAAAATATGTTTTAGTGTTCCAACGCCACAGTCCTGTTTTGTGGATGTTCTGGTGGTGTTGGTTCTGGCCTTGGTCACAGGTGTTTCTTCCTTAAACCAAGACGCTGCTTAAACCCCTTCAGTACAACCTTCAGTCCTAATTCAAACCTGATATTCCTGTTGAAGATCTATGTTTTTCCTTTTGCGTTGGCAGATGTGGACGAGTGCAGTTCTTCTCCCTGTCACATCAGTGCCAGATGTATCAATGCACTGGGCTCTTTCCAGTGTCAGTGTCAGCCAGGCTTTTATGGTGATGGTTTCTTTTGCTCCCAGCAACAAGGTTAGCAACAGGATTGATGTAAAATGGTTTAAACACTCAACTGTCAACTCTTTGAGATTGTTTATGGGTTGGTTGATCATTTTGCAGCCGAGACCGTTCGTCCTAAAACCCAGTGTGAGCAGCATCGAGACAGTCTTCAGAGCGGGGTGGACCAGAGTGGACAGCCCAGTGTTGGAGCCTTCATCCCGCAGTGTGACAACGATGGACGATATCGGACACTACAGGTGGGGACTGACCGACTTAGAGACCTGTGATTTTGTGAAGGCTTTTATAACTTAAACCGTTTGTTCCAGTGTCATGGCTCCACTGGACATTGTTGGTGTGTGGACCACTGGGGACAGGAGAGAGCAGGAACCAGGACTCCTCCTGGTGCAGCACCGAAAGACTGTGATAAACCAGGTGTTGCATCTCGTCCATGTGTAGAAAGAGACTATTTAAAAGTCAATGAAGTGTTGGAATACCATGTGTTTCTGTTCCTCAGAAGAACCGGCTCGTCCAAAAACCCAGTGTGAACATCACAGAGACAGTGTCCAGACCACCAGTCCAGAGGGACATCCCATATTAGGAGCCTACATTCCCCAGTGTGATGCTCACGGCCAGTACAAAACCCAACAGGTACATGTTCTTACTTCGATGTGGGTCAGTGGGTTAGACTCAGGTTTGGTTCCACTGACGATTTCTGTGTCTCCTACAGTGTCATGGCTCCACTGGACATTGTTGGTGTGTGGACAGCACAGGACAGGAGAGAGCAGGGACCAGGACTGCACCCGGGACATCCTCTGTGGACTGTGACAAACCAGGTGAGAAGGTTGATTAAAAGTCTGCAGCTAACATTCTCAACTGTCCGTGAGTGTTTCTGACACACTGGCAGCTGGTAAGGATTCACTATTCACGTCTTCTTTTCTAGATGAACCAGTTCGTCCTAGAACTCACTGTGAGCATCACAGAGACAGTGTCCAGACCACCAGTCCAGAGGGACATCCTTTACTGGGAGCCTATGTACCCCAGTGTGATGATAATGGAGAGTACTCAGCTCTGCAGGTCAGTGTCCTCAGACAGGAATACAGATCCAGGCAGTTTAAGATCTTTTCTTCATCCGTTCCCCTGGTTACAGTGCTTCTTGGGAAACGACCACTTGGATGAATGACTGAATGACCTGATCTGTTTTCATTCTTTAGTGCCACGGCTCCACTGGATATTGTTGGTGTGTTAACAACAGGGGAGAAGAAATATCAGGAACCAGAAGCTCGCCTGATTCACTAATACCAGACTGCGACAAACCAGGTGATCAAAATACACATGAATACACACAAGTATTTGTTAATTCTCCTGCATTACCATCAGACGGCACCAGTATCAGCAGGTGCATTATGTCATGTGTCTCCAACTGAAGGTTGGCTTTTGACCTCTGTGAATTCCTCAACTCAGTGAACAAGTCAAACACACGGCACGTTTCTTGCGAGTGCTCTCATGACCTCGTGAATAGTGTGCTGATGAGGACACGGCTCGTGGCATTGGAATGTTTGGATAACAGGTGAAATCATTGTGGAGAGACTGTGGGAATGAATAACAGAAGATTGATGGAGGGAGATGAGGATGAAGGCAACATTTTGTCTTAATGGTTTAGTTTTTTTTTTACATATTCAAGAATAAGACAAACACATGAATTGAAGCCATTCCTCAACATATCCATGACTTAAATCCAAACCAGTCTGAAAACAGGGTGTCTAAAAATGTGATATTTGCTCTGAATTCATCATTGTTCATTTTTGAGGCTTATAAAAACCTGTCCGTCCTGTTGGAGACACCTAAGGAACCTGTTTCAACGTATTCTGAACGTTTTCATCCTTATTTTGTCCCTCATTAGTTGAACCAACACGTCCTAAAACCCGCTGTGAACAGCACAGGGACAGTGTCCAGACCACCAGTCCTGAAGGATACACCTTATTAGGAGCCTTTGTTCCAGAGTGTGATGCTAACGGACAGTACAGACCTCAGCAGGTAACAGTCCAACTGTCTTGTACATTTGGAATGCAAAGTACTCAGTGACATCTGTTGTGTAAACAATTCCCATGATTCTTACAGTGTCACGGCTCCACTGGACATTGTTGGTGCGTGGACAGTACAGGACAGGAGAGACCAGGAACCAGGACTGCACCTGGTACACAATCTACAGACTGTGACAAACCAGGTAATGAATCCTTGCATCATGAATTGTAAATATCAATCAATTTCTAGATCTTTCTAGAAAGTAAAATTCCTGATTTCAGAGGATCCAGTTCGTCCCAAAACTCACTGTGAGCACCACAGAGACAGTGTCCAGACCACCAGTCCTGAAGGATACCCTTTATTAGGAGCATATGTACCCCAGTGTGATGACCAGGGTCTGTACATACCACTGCAGGTCAGTTTCTAACAAGGTGTTTGGAAGTAGACTGGTCCTAAGACGTTGTCGTCCTTAAAAGTCTAAAATGTCTCTCTTTATCATATCAGTGTCACGGTTCTAGTGGACATTGTTGGTGCGTGGACAGTAATGGACAGGAGAGACCAGGAACCAGGACACCCCCTGGTACACAACCTAAAGACTGTGACATCTCTTTATCATATCAGTGTCACGGTTCTAGTGGACATTGTTGGTGCGTGGACAGTAATGGACAGGAGAGACCAGGAACCAGGACACCCCCTGGTACACAACCTAAAGACTGTGACAAACCTGGTGAGGACAATAATAAACCTTGGGTGGAGTCACTTTAATGGCAGTTCATGGAATAATCCAGAGATTGTTTCGTCTCCAGATGAACCACTGCGTCCTAAAACTCAGTGTGAGCACCACAGAGACAGTGTCCAGACCAGCAGTCCTGAGGGATATCCAGTAGTCGGAGCCTTCGTACCAGAGTGTGACTCAGAGGGACAGTACGTCCCTCAACAGGTAGGACTGGTATTTCACTATAGAGACACTTGGTATTCTGGTCAGATGTGTTTGGTCGTCTTACAACTCAATATGTTACTGTAGTGCCATGGTTCCAGTGGACACTGTTGGTGTGTGGACAGTTCAGGACAGGAGAGAGCAGGAACCAGGAGTACACCTGGTACACAACGTGTAGACTGTGACAAACCAGGTAAGATAACCACCCAGAGAGAAAAAATGTCTTCAGTATGTGTGTTTACCATAACTCCTGTCTGATGTGTCGATTTCCAGATGAACCAGAACGACCCAAAACTCACTGTCAACACCACAGGGACAGTGTCCAGACCACCAGTCCAGAGGGATATCCTTTACTGGGAGTGTTTGTGCCTGAGTGTGATTCTTATGGCCAGTACAGACCTCAGCAGGTAGTGGTTTGGCTGAATTCTTCATCACACATGTTGAGCATTCAACATTTGACTGTAACAATCCTCATGTCCCCTGCAGTGTCATGGCTCTACTGGACATTGTTGGTGTGTGGACAGTACTGGACAAGAGAGAGCAGGGACCAGGTCCGACCCTGGAACACCGTCTGTGGACTGTGACAAATCAGGTTACATTGTTGTTACATTGTTGTTGTTAAGTGTAATCAGCATAAAGAATCACAGCCTTCATAATAACTGTATATAAACAATGTGAGGGTTTTTTTAATTTAATGGTAAAGTGAAGGTTCGTATCTTTTATTAATTAATAACTGAACCTCTAACTTCTTCAGATGAGTCACTTCGCCCTAAAACCCACTGTGAGCAGCACAGAGACAGAGTCCAGACCACCAGTCCTGAGGGACATCCTATCGTGGGACTGTTTGTACCTGAGTGTGACGACAGTGGAGAATACAAACCTCAACAGGTAACATTTAGACTGTGTTCTGTATCCAAGAGGTAGAGAAAAACACGATTGTTCTGACTGTTAAGACAGCAGACGTGTCTCTTACAGTGCCATGGCTCCACTGGACATTGTTGGTGTGTTGATACTAGGGGACAGGAGAGACCTGGTAGCAGAACTGCACCTGGTACACAGCCTAAAGACTGTACCAAACCAGGTGAGATTCCAAGCATAGAGGGAGTGGAAAGATTTATGCTCAGTTATTTTAAACAAAATATATATATAAAAAAAGGCTGAACTGAGTTTCAGTAAAGATATGTCACTCGATTTGATGGCCTTGTGTCCTGGTGTGTCCACCAATAACTTATTTTGCTGCCTCCACCTTTTCTAGTTGTACATGTAAGACCTAAAACCCACTGTGAGCACCACAGAGACAGTGTCCAGACCACTAGTCCAGAGGGTTTTCCAATAATCGGGGCCTTCGTACCTGAGTGTGACTCAGAGGGACAGTACTTATCTCAGCAGGTAACCCATGGATGTCTCTAGAAAGATAATGACACGTGTTCTGGTATGATCCTCTAACCATTTACACTGTCACCATAGTGCCATGGATCCACTGGACATTGTTGGTGCGTGGACAGTACAGGAGAGGAGAGAGCAGGGACCAGGACTCCACCTGGTACACCGTCTGTAGACTGTGACAAACCAGGTGAGGAGAAGTTTCTCACTCTAGGTAACATCATATTTCAGTTATTTGAGAAATAATGCCATGTATTTTTTTCTTCAGTTGAACCAGTTCGTCCTAAAACTCACTGTGAGCATCACAGAGACAGTGTCCAGACCACCAGTCCAGAGGGACATCCTTTACTGGGAGCCTACATTCCCCAGTGTGATTCTATTGGACAGTACAAATCTCAGCAGGTGACCTTCTGAGTGGCATTTTTAGAGTCACATTTTGACAGGATCATATCACAATAACTTACTGTTTTTTCCACTGTGGTTTAAGTCCTCCAGTGATAATTTATATTGTTTTATGGCTTGTGGAAAAACTGCAATAAAATTACCCAAAAGATTAGTTGCTAAAATAAATAATGAACAAAAATATCTCAATTACCCATGATTCTCAGTGTCATGGCTCCACTGGACATTGTTGGTGTGTGGACAGCACAGGACAGGAGAGACCGGGGACCAGGACTGCACCTGGTACTCCCTCTGTGGACTGTGACAAACCAGGTGAGAAGAAGGAACTGATAGAACCACATGTGGAAATGCTCGTTGTTGTGCTAATAACGTGGGTTTATCTGACTCCTAGATGAACCAGTTCGTCCTAAATCCCAGTGTGAGCATCACAGAGACAGCATCCAGACCACCAGTCCAGAGGGACATCCTGTTGTGGGGCTGTTTGTACCTGAGTGTGACGTCAGTGGAGAATACAAACCTCAACAGGTATTTTTTTTATATATTTGTTGGAATGCTAAGCTTTCATTAATGTTTTTTTTTTTATTAATAGTCATTTAATTATTTTACAGTGTCATGGCTCCACTGGACACTGTTGGTGTGTGGACAGTAGAGGACAGGAGAGAGCAGGAACCAGGACTGCACCTGGTACACCCTCTGTGGATTGTGACAAACCAGGTGATAAAGCTGCTTGTGTCAATGTAAACAGAGAAAATGTCTGGTTAAAAATAGGAAAACTTAATAATTTAAAATGTTTCCTAGACGAGCCAGTACGTCCTTTAACTCACTGTGAACACCATCGAGGAAGAGTCCAGACCAGCAGCCCAGAAGGACATCCTGTTGTTGGAGTGTATGTACCACAGTGTGATGACCATGGTCAGTACATCCCCCTACAGGTCAGTATAAACTCACCTTTTTGTCAAAGTTGTGTTTGTATTTTTGTATACGTTTTGGAATCATTGACATGGCCTCTGAATTGTTTACTATCAGTGCCATGGCTCCAGTGGACATTGTTGGTGTGTGGACAGTAGGGGACAGGAGAGAGCAGGGACCAGGACTGCACCTGGTACACAACCTAAAGACTGTGACAAACCAGGTTGGGATGTTTGTTTGTTTTTTCTCAAATGTCAAATGAGTTGTAATTAAAAAAAAGAGAGTATCATCAGCATATAGAAGTAAAAGTATGTTTGATGAAATTGTAAAGACAAGCTCCTCCCCCACCCCCCCCACCCCCGTTGAAATACTTAGGATTCCTGTGATACTAGCTTTCAAATTGAGTACACATTCTGTATTTTCACCAACAACCTACTCCACCTACTTCAGTTGAACCAGTTCGTCCTAAGACCCACTGTGAGCACCACAGAGACAGTGTCCAGACCACTAGTCCAGAGGGACATCCTATTCTCGGAGCTTTTAAACCTCGGTGTGACGCAGAAGGACAGTACCGCCCTCGGCAGGTAAAACACAGACATATATACACAGTCATTTGAAACCTTAATGATTCCTTCGAGAGATCTAATTAAAAACAGCATTTATATACTATTTCACATAAGTATTTAATGCTTTCAGTCATTAGATTTTTATTGGTAAAACACCATGCCAAATATATGTGGTCGCCATGTGATACGTAATGAAAACTAACCTGGTAAAATGTGACCCCTGTCATGTCTCTACTAACTTTGTTCTAGTGTCATGGATCCACTGGACATTGTTGGTGTGTGGACAACACAGGACAAGAGAGACCAGGAACCAGGACTGCACCTGGTACTCCCAGTGTAGACTGTGACAAACCAGGTGAGCGTGTTTCTTTTTTGAGATGCTGGTGTTTATTTCTGAATTTATAGAATGGTTTTATTGGTTGACATGCAAGTGAACACTGGTGGTAATGGTTGAAGTCTGAGTCCAGAGCTGAAGTCAGCCAGTGTCTCTCTCCTCTCCTCCCTCCTCCTCACTCTGTAGTATACACAGAGGGGGCTGTTCTATAAATCCAGTCTGCTCTATAAATATAATTTATTACCGTCCCCAAACATGTGAAGTGGTCATTCTGCGGTCAGAAGAACTGGCTGAGTGACAGCACTGCGTCAACACCCACATCCTCCCAGATGCTGAACTGACAAACACCAACGCCAACACTTAGTTATGTCAGATAGCTGCTTATGAAAATCCAGTGTTTTATATTACTACATACATAAACTGTGATTTACTATCAGAAAAACAACACAAGAAAGGAAAGCTAAAAAAATAAAATAAAGTGGAAGTTTTTTTTTTTTTAATTTCCACACTTTTCAGACCAGTTAGTTTCATGCTGGTTTATTTTACCTTAACTGTGGCAACATTACTCCAAACCCTTTGTCCTTAATTGTGGCAACATTACTCCAAACCCTTTGTATGCAGGCACAAAGGCATTAATGGTCCACAATAGTTGGAGAAACAAGATCCTCATCAGATTGTTGGGTTGATATTTGTTTTCAAAAATAAAAGACACACACTTGATGAGCTGGCACAAAGGCGTCAATACAGGCAGATGCTGGTGTGGAACAGTAAAAACACAACACTGTTACACATGCTTCTGTGTGGTTTTAGTTTGTTGACTTGTTTTCTCTGTAAAACAGAAACCCATGTATGTGCCATAAGGTTTTTTTTTCTGTGATATTTCTGGGTGAGATGGCCTCCTCCTCAGCAAACAGCAGCAGACGCTGTATCTGTCTGAGATATTCCTAATGTCACAGTGGAAACTATGGTCAGATCCCAAGTGACGTCCTTCCTTGTTGTCTCTCAGCCTAAACACTGTCCTGTTTTAGTGAAAGAGCTGTGCATTAGTAACCTGGACACAGAGACGGGGGGGGAGAGGAGGAGGAGAGGAGGAGGCCACTGTAAACATTAGTGACGTCTGAAGCAGTTTTAGTCTTTGTTTTAAACTCCTGATGTGCAGCGAGATATTAAAGGATCCTCGAAAGTAAACATTTTCAACCAAGACTAAATGTATTTGTGTGTTGGAGGCTGAAGGGGGGGGAGGTTAAGGGGTCAAACACTGCTACATCACATCATAAATCCAAGCCTCTGTCTTTTTCTATCTCTGTAATTTATTGTACAGGGAAGGGTATATTATAACGATGACTTATCACATTTTTTCTGTTGTAGTCTCTGTTGCTCCAACCCAGCGTCCGGAGAGTGTGTGTCAACGATGGAGGGCTAGTTTGATTGAGCACTACGGTGGGAAACCCGAGCCGCAGAACTACGTACCTCAGTGTGAGCTGGATGGAGAGTTCAGGTACAGAGGAAACACCAAAAAAAGTTTGTAGTTTTCCTTTAAAATCCAGACAAATCATTACAAAGTCTTGACTTTAGTCCAGTCCAGTGTTATGGAGAGACCACCTACTGCTGGTGTGTGGACCAGGACGGACGGGAGGTTCCTGGCACCCGATCACATGATGTGGTCAAACCTGCTTGTAAGTAGTTTTTTTAACTGTTTTTTTTTTTAATTAAGTAGTTACATCAAAATGATTTTTTTTTTTTTCCCATTTTAACATTTTACTTCAGGTCTTAAACCCATTTTAACATTTTACTTCAGGTCTTCCAACAGTGGCCCCTCCCACAATCAGACCACTGCCCCGCCCAGACGTGACTCCTCCTCCAAACGGTGACGTCACACTGTTGTATGCTCAGGGACAGAAAATCGGGGCCCTGCCTTTGAACGGCACCAGACTGGACCCGAGTGGCTCCAAAACACTGCTGACTCTGCATGTGAGTGACGACTTTCTACTGAAGGCTGAGAGTTCAGCTCTGAAAATGATTGATGTTAGAATAGATCTGCCGTGATTTACAACCTGGTCGATGTTCTGCTGAGATTATCAGTGGGTTGGTCACATCACTGGTCAAAAATGTGAAAAGACATTTGTTAAAAGTACGTGGAACCAGTTGTTGTGGTACAAATACAAGTAGCTCTGGGTTCTAAGTTCCTAGCACTAGGTTCTATTTGCTGTAGTAGAAAGGAAACCAGTTACTGATTGTGTTGATTGTTCTTGGAGCTAACTCCTGAGGGGGAATTTAACTTTAACTGTCACATGTATTTGGTACTTTTATTCTGGTGGGAGAATTTCTGCCTCATGTTCCTGTGTCCCATGTTGTTGTTCACGTCTCCAGGGTTCCATTGTCGTTGGAATCGCCTATGACTGCAAAGAGAACCATGTCTACTGGACAGATCTGTCTGCGAGAACCATCAACAGAGCTTCAATGAGGCCTGGAGCTGAGCCTGTGATTCTCATCAACACAAGTACATTCAAGATTTTTAATTCCTCGTTCATTCAAATGATGTTTCTTTCTCTAAACGATCTAAGGATCTTTTTTTTTTTTATTCATGCAGATCTGGTCAGTCCAGAAGGTCTGGCTGTGGACGTCAATCGTCGACTGATGTTCTGGGTTGACTCCAACGCTGACATGATTGAAAAAGCCAACCTGGACGGCAGCGACAGGAGGACGGTGTTCAACACTGACCTGGTCAACCCGCGGGCCATCATAGTGGTCTCCTCTACTGGGTAAAACCAAACTCTTGATTGGTGGAATGGTTAGGTGGTCTGTTGGTGGGTCAGTTGGTAGGTTGGTCAGTTGATTAATCGGTTGGTTGGTGGGTCAGTTGTTTTGATCACTGTGGTGCTCACAGTCACAATGACTCACATTGTGTGCTGGACGTTCTCCACTGAGACTCAGATCTGGTCACAGATGGTGTTCAGTCCATGGACGGGAGCAGGACAGAAATAGTCAACACTGATCTGTGACTCACTGGGACAGTGAACTTGAAGCTTCTTACTCACAGAGAACAAGTCTTGTTGAGTCTGGACTCCAGAGACTGAGGTTCATCAGACCGAGATCTTATTTCACACAAACTCACTCAGTTCTGGACGTTTCTGTTTGTGCTCTCTGTCAAAACTACCGTCCAGTACATGTTCAGTTCAAATGACCAAACAGATTTAAAAGCTTATTTTAAATGGACAAACTGAGGCTAGCCTACTGGATAATATATACATTTCAACAGGAAAAAAACGATTTAGCTGTTCATTAGTTATAGGTGTTATATAAATGTTCCCAGTAGGAGGCAGTTGATCTGACGTTTGGGTTTAATTTAAGGTGAAATGTCTTTTTATTTACATTTGTTTGTTTAAGTTAATGGTAGAGGTGATGTTCTTGATGTTTATGTGAGAAGGTGCTGGACCAGGTCCACACACACACACACACACACACACACACACACACACACACACGGGCGTAATAATACAAGGTCTACAAAGAACGACATCTGCTTTTTATCAGTGAAGCTAATCACATAATCAACAGGTTAGTCAGTGTGTGTGTGTGTGTGTGTGTTAATAGAAGTGATTTAACACAGCAGCACTACTTCAAATCATAAAACCTCTGAAGTGTGTTTCACATCATTGGTTTAACATTTTAAAGTTCCTGCCTCAAGGTTTTATATGTGTGTGTGTGTGTGTGCGCGCGCGCGCGTGTGTGTGTTCTGAAATAAAGCCAAGTCTTTTAAGTAATTTCTGCCTCACACATGCACATGTTTTGTCCAAACAGTTTTTAAACAGAGTCCAGATTTGATGATGATGATGTCAAATCCCCATGATGTTGGAGGTGATCGTGTTCTTCAGACTCACTGGGTTTTTACACTTTTATTTTGTACAAACAACTTCTATTCTATTGGATTCAAATTCCTTTCTGTATTTTTTTTTCTTTTTTTTTTTGTCTAATGGAAGGACAGGTTACGATTTGGTTACGATAAGTCAAAGTTCTTTTTTAAAGTTTACTGCTTCGAAACAAAAGGATAATTTACAGACTCTTACACACTGACACAGATACACACACACACACTCTCCCACAGTCACTAATCAACATGGCCGAGCAGTAAAAAAAACAAGCAGTGACAGTAAAGCAAACAGAGAGAAATCACATCCATACGCTAATTAAAAAAAGAAACATGTTTATGATCGTTCATCAACATCTGCTCACACGCCTGTTTAGAAGAGTGTGTGTGTGTGTGTGTGACTCATGCGGTGTGTGTTACCTCTGGTTCCCACAGGATCAGCCCACATGTGCACCATCATCTCCAGATGAGGAGCAGTGAGTCGTAATAAGCAGCCCACACACCTTCACCCCTGAACGTTTCCCTCTCAGACACACTCCTGGTATTTCCCAAACATCTGAAATCATGTGGAACGAGGCGATTCCTCCCAGAAACTACATTTCGGGCGTCTCTAAAACTGAATGATGTCACGTACTCAGACCAAACAGAGGTCAGAGGTCAGAGGCAGCAGGTTGATCAGCGTAGCCTGGCTGTGACCTCATCAACATGAGACAGCTGCTCCCTAGAGGGCTGTCTGTTCTCTACACATTATGTACACACACACACACACACACGTACATGTGGTTTTTCCTCTTGTCTTGTTGAATTAGTCAGTCTTCTAGAGTTCAGGACCAAACCATGTCTGTCTTGAATCTACATCCTGAATCATTTTATCCCTGCAGCACCCTCTACTGGACGGACTGGAACAGAGAGGCTCCAAAGATCGAGTGTTCGTCAGTGGACGGTCAGAACCGCAGGGTGGTGGTGTCAGACGGTATCGGCCTGCCCAACGCTCTGACCTACGACTCTTCATCTGGACAGATCTGCTGGGCTGATGCAGGTGATGGACATGAGGACATTGACAGACCTAGAACCACACACGGTTCTGGTACTTGGCATCGAGCATGGTTCCAGTTCTTGCAGATGGAATACAAGGGGGATGTAGTGCATATATGTACCTGTTACTAGCAGATAAAACACATAAAACCACACATAGATCAACTTTTCCTGGTCCTAGTAGCGTCCATAGTACCGATAGTTTGCATTGCAGCAATGTCCTGATTAAAGTGTTGTTCTTTGGTGGGTCTAACAGCGGTGTATCAACAATGTTTCCTTGACACTGACACTGACTCTCTGGATCACCTGCTCCTTGTTCCAGGTACGAAGCGTCTGGAGTGTGTGTCTCCTGATGGTTCTGGTCGGAGGGTGATCCACCCCACACTCAACTACCCCTTCAGTATGGTTTACCACAGGAACCACTTCTACTACACAGACTGGAGGAGGTGGGTGTCACTGTCTCAGTACTCTGTCTTCGTCCTGCCGCTGCAGTACTAAAGATGTCTCTGTCCACGTGTCCTGTTTTTGTCTCAGGGACGGTGTGATCGCCGTGAACAAAGACAGTCAGTTCACAGACGAGTACCTGCCCGATCAGCGCTCACATCTGTACGGCATCACGATAGCAACCACTCAGTGTCTATGAGGTGAGACAACACAGCCGGAGCAGAGACACAGGTTTTACCTTCATGTCACTGTTGACAAAAAAGTGATTGTATAAATTGACTACACTCTACTCCACTGCAGTCAGTTCTTCAAAACTGAATGGTTTGTGGAGCGTTTTTATTCTTGTTTTATTCAGAATGTTGTGGAGAATTCTCTTCTGAATACAAAGGGCCAGTGTAGGAAATGTCGACACCTGCCTAAAACTTTTGCACTCCCAGCACTGTAAGCCTTTGTGTCTTAAATCTCAGCCATGTTTTGACAGAGCGTGAGTGTCCCTGTCTCAGACTGTAGTCCCTAACCGCACTATAAAAACACCGCACTGTTCCTTTAAAGCCTGATGATGACAGAAGAGTGATTATAAAGCTGTGCGACTGATTACATACATCTGCTGACTTCACCTTTGATGCCTCTCTGTCCTCACATGTCTTTTTTAAAGCCTCCTCCTAAAAGGCTTTTAAGTACAAAGTGTGGTCCAGAGAGGAGGCTCATCCTCAAAGTAGCACCTGGACAGATGTGGCCGTCACATCTGCACAGTCAGATCTGCTCACACTCATCGGCACGTGCACAGGATTTACCTGAACTCACCTTTAAACTGTTAGTGATGACAGCAGGTCTGAGCCAAGTCTCACTGGCTGAAAATAGAATGTGTGTAAAAATAAAATTGGTCCAAAAATTAAAGTAGCTAAAAGTTAACCAAATGATATATTTAATTATATAAAATTTGTATAATTAGTAATTAAATGAGAGGCAAGAGATGAATAGATAGATAACTAACATTTTAGCTTGGCCTAGAATTATCTAGAACAAATCACATACAGCATCCATCCATCCATCCATCCATTTTCATCCACTTATCCGTTCCCGGGTTGCGGGGGCAGCAGTCGCCACCAAATCACATTGCACCGTACCTAAACCTTCCTGCGGGTGGTGAGTCCACTGGAAGGTACCAACCGCCCTAACCGGGATTCGAACTTGCCCAGGAGGTGAACCCTGGGGTTCAACACCAATGACAGAGACATTGCCTCTGGGCCAAAGCGCCACTCACATACAGCAAAGGAAGCTTAAAGTTTGCCAAACATTTCAATCTTAAATATATAAAAAAGAATATGAAGCAAGAACAATTGGGAGCATAACAGAATCCTTAGCTGAATACTTACAGAACAATGTGGTGAATTTGAGCCAAGGCTGCTGAAATTCAACGACAAAAAGCAACAGTTTGACCATAAAGTTTTGAAAAATTGTATCAGTGAAACAGTTTGAATACATCTTTATATAATCATGACCCAGATGAATGGGAGCCCTCAGTGGGGACTGGTTTTTCTTTGAGTTTTCTAGGAACCAAAGCTCGGAGTGTGGAGGTCCAGGTGGAGAGCAGGCAGTAAAGGCCTCATTCTGTCTTCCTGTGTTAAATCCAAATGTGAAAGGATGAAAGCTTTCCAGCCACACTGACCTAATGACAGAACAAACAGTCGCTGCCTCCTCAGACCCAGACCTGCATTTAACAACCGGCCATGGATCGTTACCTCTGTGAAGAGTGTGTGTGTGTGTGTGTGTGTGTGTGTGTAAATGTATTTAACAACAACCGCCTCTAAGCCTCTTACAAGCAGACCCTCTAACAAGTGTGTTTTTCAGAGCTTGTCATCATGCTCTCAATTACACCGCACATGCACATCTTTGAAGCTGTGAGCTCTGCTTCTCCGCTCTGGAGGGTTTTATTGTGTGAGAACATGAACTGATGTGACATGGTACAAATGGAGTCGTCAAAGTGGCGACAAATGTTCTCAGTTAAATCCATTCAAATCCAGGCCGTCAAAGTTGACCTTATTATAACAATGTATAATTGTCAAAACCTGAGAGTAAAGTGTCCAAAAAGGCTTCCGTAGCACGGGGTGTCCTTTAAGAGCCAAGCAAACTGAAAATAAATTATTGAAGGAAAGCAAATGGTAAAAGTGATTTTAAGATCCGTTAAATAGGTTTAAAGGTTAAGACAGAAATGTCCACTAGTCTGCCACGACATAGCTAAATTATAGCCAGACTTTTGGCAAAAATACATTTATTTTTTAAGTTCTCAAAGTTAACAAATAATACATTTGATGTCCTTTAAAACTTTAGCTGTGATGTTTCCTCAAATACACTTTTTTTTCTTATTATTTTTACCTACAGGAAGTCACTAATGTGGGAGCAGTGGTCACTGTCCTTGGTGCTAAAGAATCATCTGTGGTGACTCCTGACCAGAGCACGGACCACAGTCCTGTCCACCATGTTCCTGTCTTGGTTCCTCAGGAGAACATCAAGATGTCAGATTGACATTATCACCCCCCCTCCCCACCCCTAAACACTTCCACCCCCAAACAATCCCCTTTATCTCCACCTTAAAGATATAACCCTAAAAAATAAGTGTTTTGTACATTTGTTTTATACCTCATTTTTTAATTTTTTCTACTGTATTTTTTTTTAAATCGTGAATTTGTTTTTTTCTACAGATTAAAAGCTACACAATGAAATTGGAATTTAAATGTACAATAATGGCATCTGAGTTTTTTGTTCTTGAAAGAGTAAGCGATGGGTACACACATTCAGGTTGTCTAATCTGGCTCCTCCACAGTCTCTGAATTTGAACTGAACACTAACGATTACACAACCTCTCACTCACACACTCACAGTAACCCATTCCAAGTCTGCTCTAGGTTTCCCAGTTTTTATTTACAGAAAAACGTGACGGCAGCGAGAAGATGATGACAAAGTTCAACCTCAGTCTCTGAAGAAACAACTCAACGTAAGAAGATCGTCTGCTCTGAGCTGATCGGATCTGAACTCAAATACGTCCACCACAAAAGAAACAAAACATCTCAGTCTTCTCAGAATCCAACTCAAGTCTTCTGTGGATCAGTTCTTTTGTGTCCTGGTCCTCATCTGCCCACTTTGCCCAGCCTGTGGTCAGTCTTGGGGTCAGCGATGATGGCCTGCACGGCCACGATGGCCTCGTTGATCTTTGTCTGCAGCTCCCGCAGCTCCTCGATGTGGAGGAGGCGAAGGATCTGAGCCGCTTCGTTTAGGGTGGCGTCTGAGGGGAGACAACCAAAAGTGTTTCTACAGTCACTGAGATGCTGTAGTGGTGATGGTAAGACAGTAGGGGGCAGTAGCTTTTTTTTACAGCAGTGCAAATGGTGTGAACAGAACAAAAGTGCTGCTTTTTAATGGACCTTGTGTTCCAAAAGACAAAAGTTTTCCTTTCACAGAGGGGTCGAGCTGTTGTTAGAGCTCCCTCTGCTGGATCAAGTAGCTATGACATAGTAACAGAATTGATTTTGGTTGAAGGCTGGGACACGTCATAGAAAAACTGTTGCTGTTTTGATCTTGACATCAGGATGATAAGTGGTTCAGGTGATGAAATAAGAAGTTCTTACCTCCAGTGTCAAAGCCCAGAGTGTGTTTATCTAAGGCAACTGGAACTCCCTGATGCACAAGGAAAATTAACCATTTAATGTTTGGGTTTGAGTTAACGTGTTAATCTTGTGCAACAGAACTAGATCAGATGTAACGACAATGTTACCTCTTTCTTCTGACTGGCTTTAGTAATTGCCTCTGGTGACAGTCTCTCCTGGATGAGAATACGAATGGCCTGATATGAGACAGACAGAGTGTTAGGACAAATGTCTCCAACGTTTGACAGGTCTGAGGTACAGTCCTTCAGATGTCACAACATCTATGTCAACTCATTCAATTCAGTGACATTAAACACAAGTGATATTTGTGCACTGGTTCACCTTCAGCATCACCAGGTAGTCGTCATGACGCTGGATTTTTAGAATGTTGGCCAGAGCTGTTACTCCTGCCTTAAATTCAGGTGAATTACCTAAAGGAAAAAACAAGCAAACAGTAAATCAACTAAGAACAAGGTAAAACAAAAAAGTAAAGTATGGTACAGTTACTGTAGTACGGACTGTCGAGGTTGACCAGAGGGTCGGCTGCTTTGTCACTGTTGGTGGATGCTGCCAGTGGAGGACAGTTCTTATATTTATCCACTAGGGACAAAAAAGGACAGACTGTGATCACACCTCTATGAAAAAACAAAACTCGTCTTTAAGTATTTGATCTAACTAGATTCTTAACAACAGTGGTTGTATTGCGTCGATCACTATTTCTCACCATTATCTCCATATTCGTATCGAACAGCCAGACCCAGTAACCAGTCCACGGCCTCTTGTCTCTCCTGAACTCCGAACGGACAGTTGACGTCCTGCAGATACTGAATCATAACAACACGTGTGTAGTTGACCAAACCTGGGCCTGAAAACGGCTGAATGTGCCATTACTGGCGTGTACTACCTTCTGATAAGCTTTAGGCCATTCTGAGCTGGGGATGTTCCTTAGGTTCCCTCTGTCCTCGATCTTGTAGTGTCTTATCTTCTGATCCTCCAGCCACACAACACAGTTCCTGAACTGGGTCTCATCTAAACTCAGAGCAGGGACACAGAGGCACCACGGATGAATCAGCTGTATGCAGATATAGGCATTAATATCCAACACGTGGTGGTGCAGTGGAAATCTAACAGGATGACGGAGATAGCTTTTATGTTGGTAAAGACTGAGTGACTACGTGGTGCGGCTGATGTCATCAAATTCAATTAGATCCGTGCGTACTTTGCAAATAAGTAGTGGTGTGGTACTGTCTTCTTGAAGTTAACAACGTTAAACATTGTGTTATTTCACCAGGCGAAGCAGAATTAAAGTGTGTTGTTTATATTAGTACAGAGAGTTTTGACGTCACAAAAAAACAACAACAATCTGTTAGCCACGGTTTTTTAGTTTCACACTGAAGTTCATTTTCGTAAGCTGGACGAAATACATTAAGTCAAGCTAAATAAAAGTATTGTAACTTCACATTGTGGGAATATGATATTGTTGTTGCGGTATTGTGAATTGTGTTATCATTAACAAAATATTCGTAACTTTTATTGTAATATTGTAATATTTGGTACTGCGTCCTGCTTTCAGTGACAGCTAGCCTTTAACCCGGATCCACGTTTTGTCATCAAGCCGGCCACGTTCACCGCGTATAAATAGAATTTTCTTTACCTGTGCAGTCAAATCCGTTCGGGTTGTGATAATCTAGTGCAGTAAGTTTCCTTCTAAACATGATTATGTTAATTTAGGATTGCCAATCGATGAAATCCTGCAGCGAACACAAAGAAACCTTCGATTTTCTTTCTCGTTTTTTCTGCTCGCTTCCGATGACAGAGCGCATGTGCAACTAAAGCTTCCTGTTTTGACTGTCAGAGTAAAACCTTCCGCTACATTAATTTTCTTATACAATTTAAGTAAAATACCGCATTATACAAAATAATTGTATCGTTCAATACGTTTAACTCATATTTTTTGACATTCGCGAGTGTTTTTTATGAAATTGGCGTTTGAATTTTTAAAAGCTTAATTATTTTATTTCTTACACCTGTTGGTGTTTTTTTTTTCTTTTTTGTTTTGAGTCCTGGGGGTAGCATGCTTTTACAACAACGTTTCCAGCAGTAAACCATGAGGTGAGCTAACATTGGTTTTCTTTTATATTTGTGACACACACGTATATAGTTATTAATTAAATAAATAATCTCAATTTTTTTCAGCTAACAGGATTTTGAGGGTTTTATTGTGAAGCTTTTTGTTCTTTTTTGAAATGACCAAATATTAAGCCATCGTGACAAATCACAGCTCCATGGATTTGAGCTACAATTTCTTCTACATAACGCGTTTGTTGTGGGACTAGAGTTGTCTGTATTTGTTATAATGGGTCTGGGATTTAGTGTTGTCTAAACTTTAGCTGCTCTCAACTTTTGTTTGGTTTATTTAACGCAAACGTTGGCTGTAAAGCTAGCCTTCGCCCTTTTGTGGTACATTGTGGCTATTCCCTTATACAGTTTCCTGCAAATTTTGAACTAGCTATGAACTCAGGATTTGATTCATTTTTGCTTCATATAGATAGACACATTTGTACAAAAGATATTCATTTTCATTAATTTCTATTGGTAAACCTTCACCATTGTGTCTCAATGTGAGCTACTCAGACTAACCATAGCCGTTTCTTGGGTGGCTTAGCTATGCTCGACAATTTTAACAATTGTTGTAGTTTTTAGCGTCCATAGCTTGGTTTTTTAGAAAATCTATCAGTTCTCAAGGAGAGGATTCTCCAGTTGTATACTTTAACCATTTTACTTAACCATTTTCAACACCTGTTTGAACCAAATGTTTAACAAAGACAGAAGTATGGAAAACATTTTATTTTCACGTCACATTCTTAAAAAAATTAACACGTTGCAGACCAGAGGAAAAAAAAAAACTACTGGAATTATGTTGGATGCTTAATGTGTTTAAAACGGCCGCATGCGTGTGCCAAGAGGTGGAGCTCTATTGGGCGGTGTAATTGCAATGTCCAGATAATCTCCGATCTGGAAACGCTGAGACTGTAGTGTCATTGAGTCGTCTGCTCCTTTCCTGCCTGATACAGTACTGCCAATGTCTTTCAATCTGGAGAAAGAGAAAAATGCATTTTTCAAATACAATTTCTTCCTAAGTAATAGTAAACATAATAATAATAATTGAGTCCCTTGTTCATCCCATTGGGAAATTCACAGTGCATGTTTTTACACCAGGCTGCCTTTAGGGATATTTGGATTCCCTGGGGTCCGAACCCATAAGGTACATGTGTAAGGCAGGCTTGCTAACCACTACACGTTGGAACCACCTAATCAGTTCAACATTTGGTTTAGAGTTTGATTTTGGACTCCTCAGACTTACATTTTACCCTCAAGTCTTACCTATATGCTTTCGCTCTTGGGTCAGGAAACACAATGGCAAAACTGAAGTGAGTTCCTTTCTTCCTGGCCTCTGGATAAACTTCTTTGACCAGACCGGTCAGTTCCTTCAGAGTAGCATCCATCCTACAAAAAACAAATCAAGATGAAGTGGCTTCACCTCAGTTGGATATTTGATGTGTGAACAAAAGTATTTTGGGACAAAACTTCACCATGTGTAGATCTGCAGTTCACTGGAGGGGACGTTACCACGAGCAAATTCATCGGGTCTGTGATGTCGCCCACTGTTGGTGGTGAAAACACGCAGCAGGAGAGGACAGGTCTGAAAAAGAAACACGATTTTGACTTTATAATTGAAATATGCCATGATTATGTGCATGTGAAAGCAGAACTTTTACATGATGTATCTATAAAATCTATTTGGCCAATTCATCACAGGCATATAGACATTTTACTTTGGGATAACACCATTACACCTATTGACAAACATGCAATACAAGTTTTGTGCGCGTCCAGGTTTATCCTAAATTTGCGAGTTACAGCACACTCACGTGGCCACACTGGTTCACCCTCTAATCATTCAACCAGGTATACAAATTAAAAATATAAATCTAAACACGATACAGTAGTTAGAATTTTGAAAAGCGCTCGAAAACACACCAGACTTGTTTCTTTAAGCACACACGCTAGCACTGTAGCTCCAATGCTAACCCAATTTTTACCTTTTCGCGGTCGATTGGTTTTTCTGGTTCCTTCTTTATCTCCTCCTGGGTGACACGGGACTCAAGGGCCATATTTTTAGTTTTTATTGGAATTCTGATTACGTTTACTTTAATAAGCTCGACTATCGTACGTTTTAACCGTGTTAAGCCGCAGGTTTCCCAGATACATCGGAAGTTTGGCTCATTTCCGTTTCCGTCGTTGTGCTAGATGCTTTATCGCCACCTGGTGGTTAGTCAGTGGTATAGCTTGTGTTAAATAGGTACTGCATTTCTTCCCCCCTAAGTTCTAACGCAGGGATCGGGAACCTTTTTATCGAAGAGAGCCAAAACAGTCGACATGTTTTGAAATGTATTTCCGTGAGAGCCATACAATATTTTTTGTACTCTAATATTTTTTATATGTATTTTATTTGAATACAAATAAATGTGTGCATTTTTTAACAAGACCAAACATTTTAGAGTATAATTAGTCTCCAATTTATTTTTTAATAACATTGGGATGCTGAAGCTTTCCAATACATAAAATAGACTTCTGGTGCTGCATGATTTTAATGCGATTGGTTCCAGCTACACAAAAAAAAAACAAATATGTATGTTTCCACTTGCCGTACAAAACAGTTCATTACACATATCTTATGGATGAATATTTGATAATAATTTGGTTACATTTTTGTCATCTGATTTTTCTCTACCAAATCTCCCAAGTTTTCAATTCCAATGACTTTCACTGTCTCGGTTCCTAGACCAATCTACCTGAAAATATATTCAAAGTACTTGGAGAAACTTTGTCAGCACTATGTAGCAGACAAACCAAGCCATGCAACGTTGCATTGCAACTATTCAATAGTTATGAATGTGCGAATTATTTTTTACACTGTTAATGTTCTAAGAGATGCAGACTCATTAAATGGAAGACATTGGAGTCAGAAATTTCTTTATCTTATAAGAACTCTACCAAATTTTCAAAAGAAAAATAAAGTCCCAAAAGAAGTTAATGAGAGACTCATTGATATTATGGTTTGTGTTCCAGTTTTCTGACAGTAGGAGTTTTGCAAATTTAAATCATGTTTCTGAAGAAAACTCTGTACCTCAGTAGAGTGTTATCAAAATGCTCTGATTTATTCTTTCCTGTCATTGTTATATTTACATGGCCCATTATTTGAGATTATTTTAAAGTAAATTATAAATGACAAACTGTATTAGTTGATTTCTTTTTAAAAACATTTTATTCACCGTGCAACATAGACTGCACTCAGCATCAACTGAAGACATTTTATAAAACATTTTTAACAATTTGAACAGATGGAATTCCTGTGTTCCCAGTAGTCAGACTGACTTCTGACGCCTAGGCCTCACAGCCCATCATTTCTGGGGTGATATCCAGCGGACGAGGAACCATTTTGCTCAAGGCGAACAGCATGGGGCTCTTGTACTCATAATAATGTGAACCTTTAAAAACATTGATTCCATTCGGACCACAAAAGCCAGCATCAAGCTCAAACAAAGGTAGAGGGAAGTCCTCGTTCACCACCCTGGGTGTAGCTGTCAGGTCGATTCTCAGCATATTTCTTCCTATATAAAGAGACATGGCTGTTAGAAAAACAGTTACAGTCATACAAAATCACAAAAAAAAAAAAAAAAACCCAGATCAAACTTGAATTTGTCACAATGTGGCCTGATGAAAAATATGCAGTATGAAAGTGACAAATGGGATCACTGAAAATAGCCAAAATAAGTAAATGTTAGCCCAGAGGTAGCTTAACTAGGTTAAACATTAGCTAAAAGTAAAAATTCACAACTTTTTATCCCAGTGATTAAGTCTACCTTGAATAATGAAGACACTGTCTTGGCCAGGACAAACAAAAGCAGCATCCACAGAACCTTCGATCCCCAGCTCCTCCTTCAGAGTTTTGGGGTAACCTTCAATCAGGGTGTAGTGAGCTCTTCCTTTATAGATGTAGACTTGATTGTCCTGAGATTGTTCAGAAGAATAGTTTTTTTCAGGAAACTCTTAAGCTGTTGAGAACATTAAACAAAGGCCTAAAAGACATGGTTTGACCTTGATCATGTAGAGTTTGTCCGTGTAGGAGAAGACGGCGTCCACACCGTTAGCCACCTCCTTCCATGACCTGGCGATAGGGAAGCCATGTAGACCATCACGACTGGTGTCCAGACGCATGTAGACTCGACCTGAAGAGAGCAGTCATGTGTTCATTATCGAAGTTCATCCAGACAATGACATTTACCTTGTTTGTGTTGAACCAAATAATTCACAGTAATCTCACATGTAAAATTCAAAATGATGTTTGTGAGTATATTATTGAAAGTTTACTTTGTATATTACCTGCAAAGAAATACTTCTTCCCGGCATCATCCATGGTAACAGCATCTAATTTAACCTCGCTGCATTTAGGGACCGAGTACTTTCCACCGTGACCTTCAGTGAAATAAAAAATGTCACATGTCAGTGTTATTGAGTCAATCACCTGCAGCACAAATATGACACAGTGGTGTCTGCTCTTTTATTTCCTGGTTGTTGGTTCAAAGCTCACCAAAGTTGGGGCACTTCATGAAGTAGTTTCGGGCGTCTTTGGGGTAACCTTCCTCCACCAGACCTGAGACGGGGTTGAATCTGGTGAAGTTGTTTCCATGGAAACAGTAGTAATGTTCCAACCAGCGTAGAACAGAGGTGCAGACTGGAAGGTGGGTCCAGGTCTTGTTCTTTACTGTCTTAGTGCTAAGATCAAAGAAGTACACCTCGTGATCTGTGAGGAGAGAAATCGTCATCTGAGAAACAGTGACATCTGTGGATGATCCAAGTAATGTCTGTATATCTCTATAGATACACTGATATAAAAAATAGTCAAAGTTTATTTGACCATTGTCACTATTACTGATTTAAAACTGAATTATTTAAAAACGATCCATTTCTAAATGAGCCATTTTAAGTTTTAAAATTTAAATATGTATTACAAATACAGTATTTTTAATACAAACAATCTTTGGATATTTTAAATGCAAAAAAGTTAAGCTAAAATTAAACATAAAAAGCAAAAGCTGATTTAAAACCAGTGTATAAAATATGTACAATAGCCCAAATCACATTAAAATCATTTTTTACTAGGTAAAATGTGTAAATTTGTTTATTTGTTTTAAGTTATTAAATAAAATAATTTGTTAAAAAATCAAATGATTAATTTTGGCAATTATTTAATAAATAATTTGTTGTTTTTTGATTAAACCAAACTTTGACTAATAAAAAAAAGAGTCTAATAATATTTATAAATTAATAAATGGTCAAAATAGATTAGAAATGAATGCTGACGCACCTTTAAAGAAGAGAATGAAGTCGGTGTTACATTCTCCTTTAGGACACTCTACAGCAGCATCCAGGTGGTCTGGAACTCCAGGAAACACCTCCTGGATGGTCTTTGGATAACCATCCTCCAGGGTGTGGTTGTCATAGATGAAGACTTTGTCGTCCTGATATGATCAGAGAAATGGTAAATAATCAGCCACCGACTCCTGTAAATCTAACATTCTTTTAAATATTCATTTCCAGAGTTGGATTAAAAGCGTCAAACCTGGAAGAAGAAGACGTGGTCGTGAAGGTCAGGGTTGTCAGAGTGGTGCATACGGAAGGCAGCGTCCACATGACCGTTCATGTCCCTGAAGACCTTGCTGGTAAGCTGAGCTTCGCCATGGTAACCCTTCCACACATAGTCACCTGAGAGAACATCACAGTTTCATCGACAGAAAAAACAACGTCACTGACAAAACAAACTCATGACCCACGTACACATCATCGTTGTCTCCTGTGTTCATAAGTTAAAACAGACAATGTGAAATGTAGATTGAAAATACTAGGTGCTGCCATTAACATTAACATTAGCCTAAAAAGATCAAAAACAAAACACTAGATTTGTTTTTTAAGTTTATATATATATATACATATATATATATGTATGTATGTATATACAGTATATATGTACATATATATACATATATACTTATATGGACCAAACAGATTTTGTGCAATCATGAGTTGTTGGGTAAATGTTTCACCTTTGAAGAAGTGCGTTGTTCCGTTCTCATCAAGAGTTATGGCGTCAAACTCAACACCTTCACATCGATCTGGGCGTTCAGCCACACCTTTCTCTGCTGAACTTATGAAAACGTCAAGAAAACAAAAAGCACCACGGTGTTGATAAAACATATTCATAATGTAGGGATAATCTAATACTAGTAGAGTTGTCAGTTGTACAGTGCTCTTGAATGTTAAAGTTCAGAAACTCACCGTCGGCAGCTGCATCGTCTGAAGGTCTGTGGAGGAATATAAGAAAAAGCTGTTCTTAAACTTCTAAATTTCTGTAAACAGTACTGACAGCAACAGGTTGCCTTTCATTTGTGAGAAGGTGGAGTCCAGTTGGAGTTGGGTCAGTAAAGCTGAAGCTCAGATACAGTTTGTTCTATTGATTGAAGTGAACTTTGTTACAGACAGAGTGCAGACACAGCAGGACATTGACCTGTGAGGGTTTCACTGCTTCGCTCTGTGAATGAAATGAACGGCTTTTAGCTGGTTCTTCGTCATTCTCCATCCTGAGCAGCAAAGTGTTTATTATACCTTGACTCTTTTTGGCTGCATGTGTGATATATTGGACAACGTTTTCCATAAACTAGCTCTGAGATCAGTTTTAACATTTCGTTTTTGTGGTGGAGTGATGTTAACAACCGAACGTGTTCATTTGGAGATATATCGTTTGGTTCAGATACTTCTGCTGTATTTGTGGTTATTTATTTTTCTGTATTTATTCTGGTTTATTTTACTTTGGCATAGTTTAACCTATACTCATTCAACCAACAGTCATTTAGACTTTAATTTGTATCTAACTAATGTTTTTTTGCTTTTCTTTTCCACTTCGACTACAGTTGTGATGAAACTTTTAGCTATATTCCGTCGTACTGCAGCCGGTTTGATTTTGTTTCTTTTTTTTTCTGCCATGTTTATGATAAACATTGAGGTAATATTGACTTTATTGCTATAAAGTTTTAGAAATGATATTTGTCTCAAAAAGTAATTAAATTTAAAGACGGAAGATGAATTTTGATCATCCTGCACCAAAGGTCCTTCAGTTCCCAGTAATACTCACGCAGGAGCAGCAGTGGTGAGACCCAGTGCCAGACACACCAGGAGGGTTTTGGTGAGAAGGTCCATGCTGCTGCTGTGGTCCTGAGGTCAGGGGCAGAACAGGGGGCTGAGGCTGGAGCTTTTGTACTTACATGTGCACGCGCATGTTTTCGTGTGTGTGTGGGTGTGGGGGGGAGGAGGGGTGTGTGCAGGTTATGAAGGGCAAACAAACATGTTAGGACACTGTTTGCTCAGATGAGGTAGAGCAAATGTTGCAAAATGACGGCTTTTGCATAATTTCTTGGAGGATGACTCATGTTGTTTTTCTTGTTAGTGTCATTTTGGATTTTTTTTAAATGTATAAATGTACAAATTGCCTCCTTCAATATTTACCATTGTGACATAAATGTTCCAGGAGATGATTTTAAGCAAATGCATTATTGAGCAAGCACAGCGCCCCCCAGTGGTTTACAATCAATCAGTACCAAATGATTCGTATTTGGTTTAACATGGTCTGCAGCTGGTGTCACGTGACCTACACCTGACATCTGGTAGCCCAAATGCATTATGGTTTGGCTCACATTGGTAGACCACAGCTCAGACAAACTACAACAAAACCTCTGGTTTGTTGCCCACTGACCACTTGTGGGCCAGTAGAGGCCTGTTATTGGTTGAAGTATTTAGGCCACATAAAGTAGGTAACGTGGCCCACCTGGGCCAGATACGTCTTGATTGTATGGTTATTTGGTAAAACAACATTCTTATATTGTCACAGTCATTGTTTATTAAAAAAAAAAAAAAAACAATATTCATATTCATTAACAAGTCAGATTTAAAGCTAAAGACTGTAGCTGAGAAAACCCTAGAAATAAATTGTAAAACTTAAAAGCATGCATTTGTGAATATTACTTGTTACCTTCTGCACATCTAGTCAATGATGTATATGTGTAATTAAATGTATTTTTACTCAAAAGCTACATTCATTTAAATATTACGACCACAGTAACCCATATAGTCCAACCTTACATTTTTATACAAGATATGAAAGAGGTAGAGGCTGTAAATGTTGCCCAAAGAAATCCATTTAAAACATGTCCAAAGGGTTTATAGCTTACTTTTACAAATATATCACCACCTCAACCAGTCAGCTCATAATTCTCTAAATGTACATTGCTGAGTAGCAACTACACATTAGCCAACCACCCAGGTTAAACAGGAGTAAACCAGGTAAAGGAATGTCTCTAGATCTGATTATCGTGTGAACCCATGTTGAACAGACTCCACCTCATCGGGTCAAATACATCAGAACTGTATAATAGAGAAGTATCTCCAACAAAACCGAAAATCCAGGTGCTACTGACTAACTGTCTGTATTTGTCTGAGCGATTAGTCTGACATCTGTCCATACGTGTTGACATGGGCATCTGTGGCCATGTTCTGCAGCTCATTTGTAGCGGTAGATCTTGATGCAGTGGTTCATACTGTCTGACATCACCATGTGACCTTCGGGGAGCAGGGCGACACCTCTTGGGCTGCTTAGATTGTCAGTCACAAGAGGCCAACCAACACCCTTGGATGGGTAGAAAAGGACTCTGTGGTGCTGCTTGCCCCAGTCTGCAACAAGGACATCCCCATCGCTGTCAATGCATAGCCCCCAAGGACATGTCAGGACAGGCCCCAAGCCAGAGCACACCCCTAGGATTCTGATGGTGGTCCAGCTAGGATTCAGGACTCGTATGCATGGAACACGTCCAGTTTCATTCCCCCGTTCAGATACAGCCATGAGTCCAGTTGTGAGGCAGGCTGCCACCAGGTAGGGCCTGTGATAGCCAGTCACCACAGTGCGCTCCAGTCTGGCCCCAGTTTTAGGGTCTAGTTTAAGTGAAGTTAAACTTCCACGTTTGATGTCTGCAACTAAGAACTCATCTTGATAGGTAACAGTCACCCCTCTGGGGGCATCTAGTTCTTCATTGGAGGAACCAATTGTTGTGCCTCCAAAGGTTTGCAAGAGGCGTCCATGACGACTGAACACCAGCACAGCACGTTCGGCAGCACAGGTCAAAGCAATGAGACCCTTTGAGTTCACTGCCACGTCAAAGTAGTTGGAGATACGAGAGGACCGTTCTGATCCTGCTGGAGACACCTGCTGTACCACGTTCTTTTGGAGGTCAGTCACCTGAATTCGAGCATTTCCACAGTCCACAACATATAGCTGCCCCTTGACGGTTGCATGGACACCACTAGGCAGGTTGAAGTCAGTTCGGCCTGAGCCCTGTTTTCCAAATTGTTTGACCAGATAAGCTGAGTCCATGGCTGTTGGACCGCCCTCTTCTTCCACATCCTTTAAACGTGGTACAATTTTCTCCTTCTCAGTGTTGTATGGTTGTGATTCTTTGGTTGGTTGTATATTGTCCCCTTCGATTGCTGACATGGAGAGAGACCTGCTCACACGGTTTAAACCTGGACCTTTTGTAACACGAGTCTGAGATCTGGATTGTCTTTTTCCAGAGCTTAAATTGGTTCGGTCGGATCGGGAACTGTTTGCCTGACCTCGTTCAGGAACCGAAGGTTCAGATGTAAGTCTCATTCTGTTTACCTTCCTGATACCTCTGCGATCCTTGTTAATTGAAGGGCGGATGTTTCCTCGGAGGTCAGCTGTGGAAATTGAGCGACTGCGCTGTTGCTTAAGAGAACCATTAACAGGAGTAGTACAAGAGGAATCCTCACTGTCAGCTGGTGAAGGAGGGCTGCCGCTATCCATTATTGCGTCATGTGAGTGGTTTGATGTGGATAAGGCATCTTGTCCAGTAGAGACAAGATCTTCACAACTTTTTTCATCGACTACTTCTGGAGGAGAGGAAGGCTCTTCACATGAAACCAGTACAAGACCTTCTTTTTTACTTTGGCCTTTTGGTGTTGAGTGCCATTCTGTTCTGCCCTTTTGGCCGTCGGGTTCATCAACCTCAGATTCTCCTTGGAAGCTGTCTGGTGGAATAGCAAGGAAGAGGTCGTGGCCATGCATGTCTGAACATACCGACTCCAGTTCTTCGTCTTGAGAAGACTCAGAGGTATCATGATGTCTCTGTACTGGGGACTTGAGATCTTCTTCATTGTCTGTCGAACTTGATAGATGTAGTTTTCTGATAATGCGCGATGTGCTAGAGCTTGTCTTGTCGGTCTCATCTGGGCTGTTTCGTTGTCCACCTTTGTTCGATTGGGGTTCCTTTCGTATTTCAAGAGGAGTCAGATTTGAAAAGGTCTTATCTCCTGAGTGAAGGGCACATTTCTGGCCTTGGACACCGCAGACACCAATGGGGTAGGTCATACCTTTCTCATGTACGTCTATCTGCCCTAAGCTGAAGGTCTTAGACATAGGACTTGGTATGAAACTGACTCTTTTCATTGTTAGAGAAATCTCCCATGGTTGGGTAACTTCTGCCACACCTTTCTGGAGCTGATTTTTGTTGGCCCCACCAGCAGTACTGCCCCACCTTTGTATCTGTTCCTTGAGCTGTCCCATTTTTCGCAGTTGCTGGTCAACTAGTGACTGGACAACTCTAACTGCGGCAGCATTCTCTCTCTTCAGTTGACTGAGGTATCGCTGAGCTTCTCTGTGGTCCTGCTCAATCTTCTCCATGAGGCGACGCTCCTCTCTTTGGGCCTCAATCACTGCATTGTCCAACTCACGATTCACTTCCTCCACCTCGCTCTGTTGTCGCTCCCTGAGGCACTGCAGTTCACGTTCTCCTAGTTCCAGGTTGGACAGAGCTTGACTCACCCATGGAGGTGGTGAGGTAAGAGATATGGGGGCAAAGACGGACTGCCGCGGGGCGAACGACAACAGAGGTGGAGAGGTCACTTCTCTCCGTGTTGGACTGGTATGTGTCAGCAGGGCTGAGAAACCAGGGAGGGGTCTTCTCTCAGAATGAGACCGCATTAACATCTTGATGTATCTTCAGTCAGGAGCTCCTGAGAAATTGGGTTTTATCTTTTTTTTTTTTAATATTCTGCAAAGAGAGAAAATGCAAATAAAACATGTTATCAAAGTCTGTTCACACCACATATGTACGCTGCAACATAATATCTTTAGGAGCAACTAAAGAGCTCAGTATCAGGAAAACTGCCAACGTAGAAAAGAGCATTATTTTTATCCAACAATAAAGTCATAGTCCAGAACTCCAGGCCTTGCTGTAAGTCATCCTGGAAATTACCTCCTTTGTATGCGACATATTAAAGTTGTGTACATATCTGTGTCAGTTTGTAAACTGGGACACAGGCTCCCGTTTGTTGCAACCTTATCTGTCCCTCACAATATATAGTTTCTGGTGAGACTTGTGAAGTGGTCTCAGGTGTCCACTGTCCTGTTTTCCTCAGGTCACTGTTGTATTCAGACTTCAACTCTGCCGCCAGAGATTAATTGAAACAACAACAAAGTGAACTTATTACATTGCTACAGCTTTCATACTCCATAATACCAGTCCATTGAATGAACCCTTACCTCAGCATACCTGAGGTAAACTCTGTGACTTCTTATGTGATATGTAAAGAGGACAAGGAGGGCAGTGGCGTGACAAACACTCCTGTGTGCTCGAGTGTTGCTGGGATTATCTGTGGTCTTTGGTTTGGTGGAATGTGTGTCCTGTTGAAATAAGCTGTCTCAAAAGTCATTGGAGAAAAGTGGTGATTTCAGTAACAGATTTAAACTTACCAGTACAGGCAGTGTTGCCATCATTGTCATAGCTAATAGCCACAGTCTCAACATGTCTGTGTTTTCAGTCATCCATCTTATCCAAAGATAGTTCGAGGGTATCTGGTTTCTTGAAGACATTTCACCTCTCATCCAAGAGGCTCCTTCAGTTCAGAACTGAAGTGGAGGGCTTTCTTCCAGATCTCCCTTCCACCATCTAGTGGTGTCCCACAGGGAAGTATATTGGGTCCTGTGCTATTTAATATCAATGTTATATTTGATATTTCCCTCACAGCAGGCCATTATAATCTGGATGATGACTAACTACGTCCTTCCTAACACTGTTCATTTCATGCCCCTCTTGGATAATTGTATCTCAGTATTCTGCTCACCAGTGAACTCTCATTTGTAACTCTGACAAACGAGTTGACCACAAAGGTCACATCTCTTTGGTTTTCTTGACTGTAAC